TAGGAAAACTGCCCCGGTTGAACGAAGAACAAATCTCAAGGGCGTCCTAATTGCTTTCTTTTTGGTTTTTCCTATATTAAAGATAACATGGTGGGAAATGAATGCAAAAGCACATATAATGCAAAACAAACGGAAAGAGCTAGCAAAGGGTCACATCGAATTTGGGATCAAGAGCACGACGAGAGGTTTTCAGTCGTCGTCTGACAAACGAGGCCTTAAAGTCCGGACGGGTACCCTTTGCTGTGTTTCCCTGGAAAACGATTTCATCATCTTCCAGGTCCTCGGGCTGAAGAATGTGGCCAGCCCGGGGACCAAGACCATCAGCATGAACATCCCTTTCTTCTCGCTTAATGATGTAGTTATTTGCGTCGGTTCCTGGAAGCTGGGACGGGACTGGGAGAACACCTTCTTCAACCGCCAGAGAGCAGTAGTCGCCAAGGGGGGAGTCCAGACCTGCAGTGGGGGCATTGGGCACAGTGCCAATGGTCTGGTGAAGGGACCCCTTGTCGCCGTCCAGTTGGACCAACCCCTCTGGAGCTGGCTCAGCGCTGCCTGTAGTAGCTGGCCACTCTGGCAGGCGCTGTTTTCCCTTTGATCTGAGATCATCCGCATCTCCTGTTCCCATGTCGGCTACCATATTCGGTGACAGTTGGACGAGTTCCACGTCATTGTCAAAGTCCAAGAGCAGGCCGGTTGGCGGCGATGCTCTTGTAATGGTAGCTCGAGCCTCGGGGGGTTTGAGGTTGGCATCAGGGCAGGTAGGTTTGCTCGCTATGTCTTTGGGTGTACTCGCTGTCCCCTGATCCTGTACATTTTGCTCGCCGCTGGCACGCCTAGCGGAGGCTTCAGCCCTATCTCTGTTGGTTGGGCGGGGTCTGCGGCCGCCATTGTAGGGTCTGCGGTATACTCCATTTCTGTAGCCGTTGGATGGAGGCTGGTAGTGGCATAATATTAGCATGCAATGCATAATCATTTGGCATGGATCTCAGTACTCACAAGCCGGGGAAGCTCCTCGCCCTGAAGCCCAGGACAGGGGGAATTGGCGAAGCACCTGTTCTCAAAGAACAGTGCAAGGCTGCCTTCTATCTGACACAAATCAACTGCCAGCCGGGTCTCGTTGTTCTCCACGAGCTGTTCGTCAAGAAAATTAGTCCAAACTTTGAAGTAAATCTGACAAAGATAGTTATGACTTACCCAGCTATGGCATTCGCGAAGGAGAGATTGAGCCTTGCGCATTTTGTCCAAGGTTCGGGCAGCCATTTCAAAGGGCTTATGAGATGATGCGGAAGTAAGGGTGTAGTGAGAAGGTTAAGATATGTAGATGATAGGTACTGGGTGCTCAGAGCGAGAAATTGGACCGAGACTTTGAACCTGGTAGTAACGAGGTGTGAAAGTGAATAAAGAATCAGTAGTCTTAAATAGTTAATGCATTTGTTGGAGCCTATTGTTGAGCATTGGAGACATGCGATGGAAGGCGATGATTGATGAGAGAGTTGAGGGAAGAACTAAAGGATGTCTGTTTTATACCTCAACTAAGTTGCTGTCGGCACTGTGTGTTTCTACTTGAGATCTAATCATAGACTCTGACTATGTGTTTGTTGTTGATAGCCTCATCTTGCTATATCCTTCGGCCGCCTACCGAGGTAGTGCTACTTTCCCACTTGTAAACACTACTATGTATACTGCGATATCCCTGATGATCTCAAACGAATTTACAACTTTTGTTATTACAATAGGTTCTTAAGAATACTAGTATACACGTCATACGCTGCGTTTCGTGCTCAGATCCTCTATTTCTAACCACTTGCCTGTTGATCTAAATTTCTAACATATCAATCTCACTTCTGATATCTCTCACTTCTCAGCCACTCATTGTATTCCACTTCTCTTCTTCACCTGAGTGCTCAGTAGTCAAAAAGGTATACACTCGACCTCAATTTCTATCTATATCCCACCACAATGCCGTACGGAAATGTACCATTGGCCCATTAGAGCTTGCAGCACATCATGAAGAAATCGACCACTGCTTGATCCCTAGTTTGTGAGAGTTGCCAATTGGTAAGCCACAATTGTAGCAATATGTCTCACCTAGCCACGCTAATAGTTGACTTCGATGGACATAACAGTTGTTGAATCGATATGTGGTTTACGTGGTCAAATGGAAGCAGTTAGGGATGCTGCCCCATTTGGTGGCCATCTGCCAATTCTTCCTTCGCCCAGGTATCTCTGTACCGGTGTTAGTCCTTGATAAGACAAGCAATGCATATGCGGATTACTGCTCCCTTGCTTATTTCCGGCCTGATTGTTCAATAGCAGTTTATAATTCAAAACACCATAGTTATGCACAATTTTAAATCTATATGAGTACACACAAGTACGCTGCAATATGGAGTAGGTATAGGGGCACTAGGCTAGAATAGGGAACCAACAGGCGCATGGAATCTGACACAGAGAAGTTCAACATGGAAAATGTTCACATGTTTTAAATCAAAACAGTGCTCTTCCGTCAGATAATGCCATCATATAACTCTGATGAAAATTAGTTTGCACAAAAGTAACTGATCAATTCTGTTGCTCGTGACCCATTCCTAGGCTTTCAAAGTGTACGTAACAACATTCGAAAATATAGTATGGATTAAATATAGTGACGCATATGTAAATCGGAGCTACAAGGTACATTCCTTCTAGAAAAAATATGTTCTGAAAACAATTGCTGTCAAGGGGATGGGAGTTATGCTTATCCGTTATCAGTTTCCCCCCTTTTTATCTCGTTCAGCTCCTAACCGAGAACGACCAAAATGACCACGATCTGTCATTTTGCGCCCGTGCACGACACTAGCGATCTGCGTTCCTGCCCAGTGCTTGGTGTGTCCACCAGTGTATTGGCAACTGGCTGATAACCGAGTCAGAAAAGGTTCCAAGGTTAGCTAGTTTTGGATTGCCGTTTTAATAGGCAGGACATTCTCCGTTAACTCTTGGGTGAAAATGAGCTTCCTAGTGCGGAATACGGGTTCTAAACGCCGAGCATGCCGAGAGAGAAGATTGTGTAGCGAGTTCTTGGAATCTTGCGGTGGCCTAATGAGAGGCTCACATAAGTAAGATTATCGAATTTTGGGGCTGATACCTACTCTTTGTCCCAATGGTCACATTTTGGCCTACGCTCGGAATTAACTAGGCCTAATTGGCTCGGCTTAAGATACCAAGCGGACATCGGAAGTCCGATTCAGGGGTATCAGAGTATCAGTATCAAAGTGTACAACATTTTAATATGCAAAGCAACACAATATACTCCGCAATAGTAGATTGTACTGAATTATATGTAATTGTACCCCGTACATCATATACATTTTTGAACTGCAGATCAATGTAAAAGTACTCCGCAGATCGTCTATCACGAGAAAGAGAAAGTGGAAAGTACCAAGGCTCACGCTAGTATTGTATCCATTTTTACGACAGCAAACACCTGGGGGGATGTCTCACTTAACGGTCACGCATATAGATCATTTTAATTTGAAAAGTAAAATTACTCGTTACTTGGTCATTCATCAATTTCTTTGTCATACGACCATACTTCGGGATTATTCAAACAATGTATACATACATATGTATGTACTTTCGATACCCCTAACCTTGTATGTAGATTAGAATTATCATCTCTAATACCATTCAATACCATACACTGAAATCCCCCAAACTTCTCCATAGAAAGAAAATAATGAATAATTAATATGAAAAGGAAAGAATAGCCAATCAGAATTCTTGAAAGGTTAGAATTGACCCCATTTTAACTTCCGACCCGTGGACCCTAACTTTTCAGGGCTAACGGAGTCCATCCTAATTAGGTTAGCGTCAGTTTATGTTTTCATGAAAACATGTTTTCCGTTCATGGGACTTATGGGAGACACTCCAAGACCCATGGACTATTAAAAAAAAAGTATTAATAAACTATTTCGCCCCCTCTCTTCCAAGTTTGATTGCTCTCTTTATTCTTTTTTGCCCTTGCAGTGAATATCTTCACTTGCTGCCTGTCGTTTGATATACACATCTTTATTATCCCTATTTGTTCCCCACACTTCCCTCGTTTACCCTGTGGCTTGGATTCAAATTCTTCTGTCATTTCAGCTGTACATACCAACAGTACATAATAATGGTCCGCTTTGTGACACCTTTGGTCCTGGCCTCGCTGTCAGTGAGTGCTTTGGCCGCACAATCCTGCAACACCAGCAAGCAGTGCAAGGATGAGAAATACCCCTGTTGCTCTCGTGAGTAATATATCCCCCTTTCCCAGACCACAATTGTATTGTAACTAACGATCTAACTAGAATATGGTGAATGTGGTACCGGCGCCTACTGTCTCGGTGGTTGCGACCCTCTCGCCTCCTTCTCCCTCGATTCCTGCGCCCCTATGCCCGTCTGCGAGAGCAAGACTTACAAATGGGACAACCTCGACAATTCCATTACCCAGGACAAGTACCTCGGTAACGCCACCGAGGCCGACTGGACCTACAGCGGAAAGGTCAAAACCGAGGATGGCAACCTGATCATGACTATGCCTGCCAAGAGTGTCGGTACTCTCTTCGCCAACAACCACTACATCTGGTACGGCAAGGTTTCCGGTAAATTCAAGAGCTCCCGCGGCAAGGGTGTCGTGACTGCTTTCATTCTTCTGTCCGATGTCAAGGATGAGATCGACTACGAGTGGGTCGGTGCTGATTTGACCGCCGTTCAGACCAACTACTACTGGCAAGGTGTTTTGGACTGTAAGTCAAGCGAAATATCCCATCCGAATAATTGATACTGACTTTGCGGAACTAGGGCACAACAGCGGCAACATCAGCGTTGATGGTGGTGATACCTTCAACGACTGGCACACCTACGAGATCGACTGGACCCCCGAGAAGGTGGACTGGATCGTCGACGGCACCGTGGCGCGTACCCTGAAGAAGGCCGATACCTACAACGAGACCTCCAAGCAGTATGAGTTCCCCCAGACACCCGCCCGTCTTCAGATGTCGCTCTGGCCCGCCGGTCAGCCCAGCAACGCACAAGGTACCATCGACTGGGCTGGCGGTGTGATCGACTGGAACAGCGAGGACATCAAGAAGGTCGGATACGACTATGCCACCGTTGGCGAGGTCAGCGTGAAGTGCTACGATCCTCCTTCTGATGCCACCAAGAAGGGTTCCAAGGCCTACATCTACAACAACGCCGCTGCCATGGAGGGTGACATCTCCATCACCAACAACTCCACCGTTCTTGCTTCCCTCGGTGCCACCGGTCTCGACATGGATCTCGGCTCTGACAAATCAAGCTCTTCCACCTCCAAGGATTCTTCATCCACTGTGTCCAACAGCATCCCCACCGGAAACGGTGGCTCCGGTGGCATGACCAGCAACAACGGTGATTCCAGCTCCGGCTCTGGCAGTGGCACTTCCACCTCCAATGACGGAGAGAGTACCACTTCCACTGGCTTCAGCCAGGGAACTACTGCTAAGGACAGTGGTGCGGCTGGCCAGAATGAGCGTGTCCTCCGTGGATCGCTCTTCGGAGTCCTGGTGGCTCTTGTTGTCCTTGTGACCCTATAAATATCTTTCTGATTTGATCTATATATCATTGTTGTATCATTTATTTCTTCTTTCCTGCTATGTTTATTGCATAGTACGGGAGTACTTTTTTTGTTCACTACATACTGTGCGATTTCGCTTCCTGTCTGTCTGACGGAACCTTGAACAAATCCCCTAATGAATAACTTTGATTCCAAGGTTCTTGTATCTTTTTGCCCCTTCATTAGGTTGTGATGTTCAACGGTTGACTGCATATGCATCTGCACTTTTCCTCCGTGTTTTGTTTGATATACCTACCCGGCGTTTTTGGCCATATCATGCCCTGTTAATTTCTTTCTGATTCATGCGATATACCATTACTCTGGTAATGATCTGTGATTCACTGCACTGACTACAAACTACAAACTAGCTTCATGGTCTGCTGTGATATTGTTAATATACGGGTGATTTTCCCTACTTTCATACTTCTTTAACATCCACCTCCCGTAAGTACTTGGATACCCATTGGTGTAGATTCTTTCATATCCTACATTGGTACATTTCTGCCATATTCGTTTCTTGATACAGGCAAGACAAGCAGCCCTAAACTACCCATCCTTGCACTTCGCTCTCGGGACGACGCTCACAGGCCACCTTCAAGCTCATTCCATAGCTTGCCTCAAAACTTGCATCCTCCCCCACACAAATCAGGTAAGCCATGCGAGCATACCGCTCCACTTGCATGGCCTTCTCAGGCGCAACCTCAATGAAAGACTTGCAAAGGATAAGCAATGCAACAACAAGGTTATCCATAGCAAGCCCCCATTTCTTCACAACAAACGGCGCCTCCACATCCTCCAACCCGGAACCCTCAAGCACAAACCCGACGGCTGCAAGAGCACGATTCACAACCTTGGCGGCTTCCTCCGGTCGCTTCTGGCTTTCATAAACCCCAGCAATCAAAGTAAGCGGCTCCCACAGCCCAAGTCGCAGCACCTGCTCCACTGGATGCGGATACGTCTCCGTCAGACGCTCAATGAGCATCTCAGCCCGCGTCAGGCTAAGCTCATTCGAGCTTCTTTCCAGCGCCATGGCGATCTGTGCACGCTGTCTAACCAGCGTGTTGAGGACGCCGGGCTCAGTCGCCTTGACGTCGGCGCACAAGGCACAGCTGCACTCGAAGCCCCAGTGGCGGAAGTCCATGGGCTGGGTTTCAGGAGCTGGGAGCAGGTACCAGATTGTCAATTCCGTGTTTGCGGGGATATCGGTGGCTGCGCGGATGATCATCATGTCGCCGATGAAGGCGCGGTGAGCGTTGCTCATGCATGAGTGGTTAATTGCTGAGGCGTACGGCCAGATGCCGCAGTTGTGCATTGCTTCGGGGTTTGTGCTTGCGTCGCAGGCATCATGGATATGATCTGCTCTTGAAGAGGTTGGGCTGCGGAAGCTGTTGAGGGAGATTATGCGGGCGATGTGAAATCTGCAGGGTAGGAAGGAGGATTTGTTAGCTTCGCTGTTTAAACGGAATGGTCTGCTTCTGATTTACGTGTCTACCACCGGTTTGCCATCAACAGGCTCCGTTGGGACCTGGTTAAATCCGCCGCTGTGGAGGTCAGTTATTGCTGACGCTGAGGATGGGTTCTTGGACAGCTTTTCAATGATTGACGATGCGAGCGCGGCTTGGCCTCCTCGGGTTATGGTCCACGTCTCGGTGTTGATATGGAGGCTGCTCCTCCATCTCGGCTTGTTGGGGTGCTCAGTTGCATATGCGAAGGCTTTCTCGCAGAGAAGTAAATCACCGGCCTTGACTGCCTCAGTTGTGAATAGGCCTCGTCCTTGAGACTCGGTTTGTCGGATTGTCACTGGGCCTATCCATGTCGCATGGTCCAAGAGTGGGGGGTAGGTTTTCGATACTTTTTCCTGCATCCTCTTGAAGTTGTACATGCCCTTCTTTTGCTCTGCAAGACGTACAATGGCCTCACGGAAATCATTCTTAGCGTGGATGTCTTCCGGGTGTTTCTTGCAGAGTTGCGTGAATACGTCGCAGCTTTCTCGGAATCTTTTCAGATGGTAAAGGGCTTGCGCTTTACCTCTGAGGGCTTTGTCGGATTTTGGGCCTTCTGGAATGGCTTCGAGGTCACGCAGAGATGCATCCCACTCATCGGCCTGGAAGAAGGCTAGGCCCCGGTAGTACAGAAGGTAATGCAACTCTTCCTGTGTCGGCGAACACTCCAATCCTTTGGAGTAACTGTCATTGCGGTTAGCATTGTTCGCTATTGAATGATCTACTGGGACTTTACTATTCAGTGGCAGAATAGAATTTGCCCCTGCTGAGATACTCGTTACCCATGCGTAGCCAATCGCTGGCCACCCATTGACTGGTTTCATTCTCTGGGAGCCGCTCTCGCCAAACTGATGGGACCATCCTGTCCCACATTGGAATGAACATGATATCAGAAACATGTTCAACTTTGATCCCGTATTCGGTCTCAAGCGTCAAAGTCAAGTGTGGCTCCTTCACAAGCAAAACCTGCCCTTTATCAATAGAGCCATCGTGACACCGGAGCTTCTCGTTCAACATTTGGAGGGGGATCGCATGTTCCTGTTCGTCTTCCACAATGACTCTGACGGCGTCCTTCTTCTCTGACCGGGTCACTGATCTGAGTAAAATGTAAGAGCCCCTGTGGTGAGTTTCAAGAAGCAAATCATTGACCATGAGCTTCTTCAGGTCTTTGATGGGAGCGAGACAGGGTGGATAGATAGGAGGGGCAAAAGAGACATTCACTTCATTGGCGCTACTTCTGTCGCGCGATTGGTCTTTTCTCGCCTTCTTCTGACTATTAAATCGGTGTAGGAATTTGTCGCGTGTCATTGTTGGCTTGAATCGCATGCCCTCGACGGACTCGGAGGTTTTGAGAGCTTGGGTGTGATCGTTCAAGAGCTTTTGGCTCTCTGGGTCCTGGAGGAACCTATCCATTTTCGAAGTCTTCACTTTCATTTGAGGGGTTAGTCTACTAATAGAGGCAAACAGCTGATGGGTTTTGATGCTTACGAGATATCGAGGATGGATTCGATCAAAATAACCTTGGAAGTGATGAAGCAACGCGATTAGGTGAAGGGAAGGTTATCTGCAGGTGAACAAACAGCGAGAGGAAAGAGCACTTAGACACGTGAATAACAAATGTGGACATTGGATTCTCTTACCTTGAATCAGCAAGACCTTCGAATGTTCTAACTAGGATGATATAACTTTATTTGTGCACTTGAACTTCTACCATCTTCGAAATCTGCCTATATTGGAGGTTATGAAATGAACTGGTTGTCTTTGCCATGAGAGTCAGAGCTGCAAGGTATAAAATCAGCTTTCATGTACAATAGCTTCACATAATGCTCTTGATATCTACGGGTAAGAACATGTCTATCATAGCTTGTAGTATCTAGTATTTGGCTTTGTCTATGCCATCTGTTTGTTTCCCTTTCTCTCATTATGCTACTTTCCATTTCTCTTTCTTAAAATCTTGTAGAACATATAGTCTGTACTCTAACTCTCCTAATCAGGTTAGTATTTAGCATATCTTTGTCCCTAACCTCAGACCTTGTAAATAACCTACAGCTATCTCTTTGACAATAAGTGATATAACTGAAATTATATGATGTAAATAGGGTAGCAACATAGCATGCTTCATCCTTATCTCACTTTTACTTCGTCGTCACGGCATTATATAACCTTTCTTTACTCTGCTCTCCCAAGGGCCTTACTTTATCATTGCATAGTGCCCTTTTTTATATGAATTTCCAACCTCTCAATTCTAGGACATGTCCTAACGCAAAATCATCCAGCATCTCCCTTAACCCCAGAGGTTTGTCATAACAAGATTTATCCTGACTAGTCTAACACTCCACGACTCGGTTCAGATTTCACACCATAGCCCACCAATCGCTCTTTCAAGGTCGACAGAGAGAATACAGCCAGCAACGGGCCCAAACAGACATCAAGTCATACGCACACAGAGAGCAATTATCCTGGTGTGCATTCACACAGGCAAGTTCAACATGTGTCTATTTGTCGAGACCACATACCCCAATTGCGGTCATAAGTCCTTCGAGCTCCACCTCTTTTGCCGCGAACTCCTCCGCCAACTGAACCGCATCAATGATCCAGGGCAGCTCAGAGACTATGATTTGCCATTTGACCCTGATTGTCCTACCTGCCAGCCATACACAGCCACCATTTGGCAAACCACCCTCTGTCCGGGTGTGAATCCTCGGTGTGTGATGTCGGAGAGCAATATTGTGCAAACGGTCATAGATATCGTGGGGAGCTGCCCTGTTTGTGATACAAAGGCATTGTGATTTCGATTTGGGCTTTTGCTACAATATGGTTTGGTGATGAAGGGATATGTCTAAGGAGTTATTGTGCAGTGTTGGAGTTAGGGAGAAAAACAATCAAGATACGAACAATTATTTCTAGTAGACCAGTACCAGCTGTATACGGATTTCTAGTGAATAAAAGACCTGAACTGCACAAAGTATATATGGTGATGATGATGATGATGATGATGATAATAATGATGATGAACCCCCCGAAATATTCACAATGCGGCCTAATACAGGAATCAATACAATAGGAAAAATGTCGAGTGACGACTATCGTTTAATGGGAAGCACCGCATCCACAATCATCGGCGGAACGCTTCCTGAAATCTCCATGGTAAGTGTCTAGTCCATCAGTGTGGAAGTTCAATCCTAGACGATCACCCATCCAGTCGTATGATTGCAAGGCTCCAGACTTGGTGTCTTGTAGCAACTTTGTGACATTGTCGACGTTGAGATCAAGATAGTCAGCAAGGAAGTTGCCCACATCGGTGTTCTCATTGTTGCCAACCAATGGCCAAGCGTCCTTGCTAGAGGAGACATAGATGTTGACGTCAACAGCTATAACAAAATTAGCACACCATCATAAATCACTTCTCGAGACTATCTTACCAGAATGTCCATGAGTACTCCAGCCCACCTGGGCGCGGCGGCTGATCATATCCGCGAACACATATGCCGGAGTGACTTGAGGATCCGGGTGGAGCAAGGCATCTACTTCTTTGTCTGTAGCATCATCGATGCCAAGGCCATCCTTAAGAAGGGTTCGGACCCAAGACTGCTTAGTCGAATCCTTGGCGTCCTTGCCTGGCCCAGAAATGTATTCTTTAAGTCGAGCAGCAAGGTATTCGCCAGAGTGGCTTGCTTTGTCGAGGACACTAGGAAGCCACAGGTACTCAGGATAGCTCTTGTGAAGCTGTCGTGCTGCGGCAAGACCACCGGTCTCGTGGTCGGATGTGCTCACGATCACGCCAGGGGTGGAGTCGTTCTCTAGGAACTCGAGAGCGGCAGCAAAGGCCTTGTCGTATGCCAGTACCTCGTGAACCTGGGCGGCGGGATCATTGCCATGGCCGGCATGGTCGATCCGAGAACCTTCGATCAGGACGAAGAACCCTTGCTCGCTGTCCTCGGTCGCTTTGCTCAAGGCCTTCAAGGCAGTGCGGGTCATCTCCTCCAAAGAGGGATAGGTGTCATTTTGAGTACGTCGATCAATCTCATACGGAATATCTCCGTGAGCGAAGAGACCCAGCAGAGGCAAAGTGGCATTGTCGCCGCCCTTGAGGCCATCGAAGCCTGCACGGTCATCGATGTAATCAAACCCATTCTCAGAGGCAACCTTGATCAAATCGTGATCATCACCACGGCAGCTGCCAGCCTGTGAGTTGGGCAAAAAATGGCATCGCCCACCGCCAAGCATAAGATCTACTACCCGACCGAGAGGGTGTTCTCCAACTTCTTGGGCGGCAATCAGATCTTCGTAGTTTCGCAAATTGGCATGCGCAGCGAAGCATGCTGGAGTTGCATCCGTCAGGCGAGTAGTAACAACCAGACCTGTCTTATAACCCGCCAACGCAGCCGCCTCAAGCACAGTACCACAAGGCGAGTGGTCAGGAAGCACTGAGATGGCAGAATTGTAACTCTTGCGACCGCACGAAAAGGCAGTTGCTCCGGCCGCAGAGTCTGTCACCAAACTAGAGCTTGAACGTGTTCGCGAAGTTCCAATGTAGTGCTTATCCAAGACCAGGATGTCATCGAACGGCAGATCATGCGTGTATTGCCGGAAGCTTCGAGTCAGCGAGAGACTGGTAGGGCCCATGCCATCAGACACCATGAATATCATGTTCCGCTTGCCTGTTGGCTTGCCTCCAGGGCCCCAGGTCGTGTTTGACCCATGATGGCCGTGAGGCTCCGCTGACTTGTGCGGGTAAAGCACGGCCAGCACAATTACCAAAATCGTTGCAATAAGGGCCCAGGAAAACACTCCAATTTCCCGCCAGGAAGGCCAGCCTCGTTTGTTTTCAGTGGCCGTTCGCTCACCGGTTAGAAGAGCGTAATCCTCCTCCTCATTTGGGATCGATGAGCCATCATCAGAGGACACGCGAGGAGGTACGAGGGACTCTTCCCGCGCCATAGCTGCTGTAAAGACAAGATCTAAGTAGTCGAATCGGGTTGACCTCGGTGCAGGGATACTGGGGAAATGGTGGGGACAGATCTACAAGGCCGAGAGCTTCGATTTCGGCCTTCCAAGGTTGTTTTGACCCTGAGTGACCCTGAGCCGTGGGGGCGGAGTCGGGGAGATAAGGATAAGATAACAGGACTCACATGATACGTCCCCAGGTCACGTTCCTGCATCACAGGTCGCGTAACATGCCACTACGCAATGCGAACTATATGTACCCTTTTGTACAACCGGAGAATGTAGGGAGAAGAATTGTTTCATTTTGAATCGGCCTAAGCCATATACTCAAACTATCCATATAATACATGCTATTCTGAAGTGTAACACCTAGAGAGGTCTAGACTTCCACCCAATAGGAATCATAGCAGCGGCAATCTCAGTTACACCGCGCTCTGTAGCAAGCAGATTGAACTGCGCGGCCGCGTTTCGGGTGTCGAGAATATCTACTCGAATGCCCAATGAGTTGATATGACGCCTAGTTTCAGGTGAGAGCGGGAACATCGAGCCACCAAGACCTAGAATGAGCATATCTATAACAAAAGTATTAGAAAATCGAAGTAATCTTGCATCAAGCTCGAGTATCTCATATTCATGGACGAAATGACGTCTTAGTATCAAAAAAGCAAGAAGAGCGAACATACCAGGCTTTGGCCACACAAGATTCAACAACCCCCAGACCGACTCATCAAGCTCAAACTGCCCTTTTGAATTGAGCATAGCATCCTTAGCGACACGATCGCTCTCCGCGCCCTCGACGGCCTTCCACGGCCGCCACGCAAATGCCTCACCGCCGACCAGCAGCAGCCCATCGCCATTGGTAAGCTTGACACCATTGTTAAGATGAAACCCGGAATCAAGGCACGCATCAATGGCTGTGGTTGGTGCAGGGATGTTGCCCAGCACGTTCAGTGCATCAAAGTTCGTCTGGGTGTCTTCTTTTGACTCTGGCCCGCGGTCGCGGCTGACGGGTTTGTGCGCGTGTGAACGGGGGATCATGCGAGTTGGTCGAATGGGTGAGCTATAGTTGCGGCGTGCTGAGGGTATGTCGCTGCTAGTATTTGAGACGAGGCATGGTGCTGCGGTTGCTGATGGGATCTGGCAGAACCGAGTCAAGTTCGAGTTGCGACGGGTGTTGGCTAGCGAGGTGCGCAAGAGGCGCAGGAGTTGCGGCGATGGTGAATGCATTGATGCGAGGTGGCCGACAAAGAGGCTGGTTTGGGTTGGTCCTGTGTGATGTATTACCCAAGTGATGACTGTAGTGGCTCGATACCTAGGTAGGTCGGGCGGTTAGTGTCACGTGAAGTTAACTGGACCCGGGTCTTGGTGACTAAAGCTAGCGGCCCCGAGACCTACATATTCGAGACGCACTAACGTACCTTTGCATGAGTTTAATCGTACTCCGTATGTATCATGCAGTAACGCATATCAAGTATATACATGTGTAGAAAGAAGGACGGTTAGTTAGACATTCTATGGAAATCGAAAGTGACTGTACTCTGTGGAGTGAGCATGCTGGAGTTGAACCCGTGTATCAGATATAGATACAGACAGGCAAACAAGTAGTTACGATCTTTGTTAATTGAATAATTCTTACATTAGTATTGAGCCTAACAATTAATCTATTTTGACTTTGCAGAAGTCCCAACCCTGGCCCTCTGGGCCTGGATTCATATGGAACAAGGACAAGAGAGATGATAACATCGTACGCATCGTAGACCCAAAACGCCAACAAAAAGAGAAAGAGAACGATACCTGGAAAGACGAACGAACCGAAAAATAAGAAATAAGCAAGACAAAAAAGAGAGGCTCTCACACCTTAAGATGAGACATCTAACTTGTTGCCATGCTGCCTCCGATCATTACTGCATTATCGGAACTTTTCTTGTAAGGATATGGGGGAAACGTATGCACATGTTGAAGATTAAACAAGAGACATTCCTTGTCTTTATTTTAGCGGTCCAGGGATTACTGATTTAGTCGCTTCGGCGACCGACAACGTTGCGGTCTTCATCCGATTGACTGGAGCTGTCATCGCTAGTGGTTGCAGTGCGGATTCGCTCGGCTAGGACCTGAGCTTCGGCCATAGCCTTTTGAGCGCGGATCTGTTTACGCCACATGCTGGCATAGCGGCCCTTCATAGCCAGAAGCTCTTCATGGGTGCCGCTTTCGGCCACTTGACCCTCTGACAAGACCAAGATGCGGTCTGCGGTAGTGATAGTGCTGAGACGATGAGCGATTACCAGCATGGTGCGACCTCGTGAAAGGGTAGAAAGCGCCCTCTGGATATGCTCCTCGGTATCTGTGTCTAGAGCTGCGGTTGCCTCATCTAATAGAATGATGCGGGGATTCTTGATAATGGTACGAGCGATAGCCACACGTTGCTTCTCGCCACCGCTAAGCCGTAGGCCGCGCTCTCCGACCTTAGTGTTGTAGCCGTCGGGGAAAGCAAGAATCTTGTCATGGATGCTGGCGGCGCGACAAGCCTCGAAAACGTCTTCATCAGTGGCGTCCTGGTTCGCATATTTCAAATTGTACATCAAAGTCTCGTTGAAAAGGACAGTATCCTGAGGCACCACACCAATGTGCTGGCGGAGCGAATCGATCGTGATATCCCTCACATCATGGCCGTCGATACAGATACGTCCGTTCCCGGAGTTGTAGAACCTGAACAAGAGGCGAAAGACGGTGGACTTGCCTCCACCAGACTCACCAACTAAGGCTGTGGTGGTTCCCGGTTGGCAGTGGAAGGTAAGGCCGTTCAGCGCGGGCTTGCGCGAATCATAAGCAAACTCAACATCCTCGAATTTGATATCGCCATTGCACGTGGCCAACGGGGTAGCACTGGGGCTGTCAACCACAGTTGGCTGCTCACGGAACAATTCTAGCAGGCGTTCGGCATTGATTAATGCGGATTGGATAGATCGATAAAAGGTGCCAAAGAAATTGAGCGGGCCCTGGAGTTGGACCATATAGGCCAGTAGAGACACGAACTTGCCCACAGGGCGTTGGCCAATAGCGACCTGGTATGCACAAATGAAGCACATTACCAATAAGCCCATCATAAAGACGGTATTCTGACAGGTGTTCAGCAGTGTTAGAGAGAACAGCACGTGGTATTCGGCCTTCTGGAAGTCACCCACGGCACCCCGGTACCGGTTAAATTCGTACTGTTCGGCGTTGAAGTATTTCACTGTCTCATATGAGACCATAGAGTCATTCCTACAAGAAGCATAAGTCAGCACATATATCTCGACTATATCATGGATAGCCTCGCTTTAACTTACTTGACGGCATCTTCTTGTCGCGAGGCATTGACCATTTGTCTTCTGATCTCTGCTCTCCACTGAGCCATGCGAATAGTGACATAGAGATAACCAAAGGTGGAAATCCCGACAGCTAGAGCATAGTAGACGTCGAATGCGACCATGAAGAACACAACCGCAATCACAAGATCAACAAGCATTGGCACCACCTGGAAGGTGACCTGCTCAAGGAAAGTATTGATTGAACTGCCCTTGCTTAGGGCGGACAGAACCTCGCCGGTCTTTTTTCCGAGATGGAAGTCTAAGCTGAGACTATGGACGTGTTCGAACGCAGCTGTGGAGAGTTCCATGTAAGAATACTGGCTCACAGGGATCCAGAGGCTAGAGCGCAGGGAGCTGAGTAGGCCCTGGCTGCCCTGCAACCATCGGTACAGCACATATAGGCAAATTTGAAGCCATGGCACTTTGAAGTCCTCGCCCTCACCCCCGGTAAGGCAATCTGTGATGACTTGAATTTGGTAGGGTACCAGGACGTTAACGACTCGCTGGCATATGAGTAGCCCAAAACAGAATGTGACAACTAGTTGCAGGCGGCGAGACTTGGACGGCCATAGGTATGGGAAAAATAGCGAGTACCCGCTCAAGTACTCCCACCAGCTAGTGGAAGGAATCGTCGTGGGACGCACCCATGGATCGGTAGGTTTGGAAGTTTCGGGGCGAGCTCCGTTCGTCGAGCCATATGAATGACCGTTAGCAGTTCCATTCCCATGTCCATTTCCATTTTCTGCGCCACCTGAATCCAAAAGCCCCGTAGCTTCTGTAGCTCCATTTGCCCGTTGGCTTGCCTTCTGCTGACTCTTCATGCTGAACGATTGACAGGCGTAGAGAAGAACTAGTGCAAACAAAATAAGGATGCGTACACTATTCGACCCCACTTCAAGGGACTCCCAGAATGTAATGCTTCTGCGAACCCGACCCCCTTCTGGGTCTCCAACAATTGGCTCGTGGTGAACCGAGGTGTAGATTGAGAGAGAGGTGCTAACAATAACCAATTCGATCGGAATGGCGACGGACCAACAGACAAATTGGGCAATAGTGGGCGAGGGAGATGTGTCCAGCATTGCCATGAGCAGCACTGCGTATACGAAGAACGAACCGACGACATAAATCTGTGATAAGTGTCAATGGCTAGAAACACTAGAACATGTGAGTAGAACGTACCACAAAGGACTGTCCTCGCCACCAGTTTTCTGACCTAGCCACCATCACATGAATGATATAGATAGTAGCATCCACAAGGAAGGTCAAGAGAACGGTTACGGATAGTAAATTGAAAACTCGCTTGACGTTCCGCGAGAACTCTTGGGATTTGTAGACGGCGACCTTTCGAGATCGCTGAGGGAGTGGACGCCCTCCAGGGCCAAAGTATTGAGATTCATGCTTGCTAGCTTTCCTTGCAGCGATAGTAGTATTAGCCACGAAGGCCACGACAAAGAGGATAAGAAGAAAGATTGGGTAAGAGGTGCGCAAGTACTCCAGCAGCTCAAGGGCTGCATGGGGATCCATTGCCCACTAGATATCCCAGAAATGAGTGTTTTAGACAAAGTCCATGACAAGAGTGCCTCCTCGAAAGAAAGGTAGAGAAGGGAGGCCGGGTTCGGATCGGAAAGGACTGGAGGTGTGAACGACGGGTATGGCGAAAGATCGACGCGAGGAATGGGGGGGGGGGATTTCCCAAGAAACCTCAAACAGGTTTCCACGTGGAAATTTTAGAAGGAAAATAGAAGTAAAATATTTTATGGAGAAGCAGAAGCAAACATAGAAAAGAGAGGGAAAAAAAGAAAAGAAAATATAATGCTTGTTATCTTTCCTTATTTTTATGTTTTTTTTTCCCCCTAGTTTTTGCTTTCCTTTCCAAGTCCCAATTTTTGAAGTAAAAGATTAGAACTTTTAAAAAGGAAAAGAATATAATAAGAAAAGTGAAAAGAGGCAAAGAATATATATATAAATAAATATAAAATATAAAATGTCTAGAATGACGGTGTGGATTGCAGGTTGCTGCAGCTAAAAAACAAGGGTATCCACTGATATATAACTCACCTAAAAGCTTCCGAGGTCTATTTTTTTTTTTATATATCTCTTTCTCCGAGTTCTCCTTTAGGACTTTGCATATTCAGAGTAATATATAAATTAACTCTTTCCTGCCCGATGGTTGAAGTTCAAATCGTCCTAGAGACAGGGGATAAAAGGATCGTCGATCTATCGATCGAGAACAATCCACGCATACTATATGACTTCACTAACTGCCAAGGAAAAATTTAAAAATATATATATATATATATGAAAGGAATTAACGAGATCATCTGAGCCCCAGTCATATGGTAAAATCTAGATTTACTTCCATTTTCTTGTGTGACCTTCAGCTAGGATTGGTTGTCTATACTTCTTGAAAATGTATGTGATTAGCTGAATGTCTCATATTTTGCCTCTTCTTAGTGCTGTTTTAGTCACTTTCAGTGGCACTACCAAGGCGCAGTTCAACGAATTGGCCACTTTGTGTAAGTATATTTTATAATGTATCATAAAATAATATCTGAAGATTCTACTATGTACATATGTATGAATATATATCTCCATGTGTCTCGTGTCCGTCCCGGAGCCCCGGTCGAGGTAAGACAAATTAGAATTGCATTATGTTTTATAGATAGTACCTATTCAGATTGGTTATTGGACATGTTCGGAGAAATTACTTCATAAGATCATATTCCAATCTGAGCTCTCTCATGTGTTGTCTTCTAGACCGCTCTTAAACCATGTGTTCCGGCCCGATGGCTTCTAAAGAGGTAAATGGGTTGAAGATATATATATGAGAAGTACAACTACCTAATTAGTGCCCTATAGGTGAGGCATAACACGTTGTAACAACGTTGCAACGTTAGAAAAAAAAATTAATTGAACATTTTCCAAGGTTGTTCCTTGTCAAATAGTAGTGAGGCATGGATCGTCGGTGCCTCAGGGATCTTTCCCTCACCGCTTGCATCTCGATCTCCAACTCTCCGCATCTTTCTCCCTCCAATTCGGTGGTGTGTCGGAATGGAGACCTGACTATGAACGATGTCGGACCTCTCAGGTTCGCGATCTCCGATCCCTCCTCCTCCCCCCCCTCCACCACAGAAGTATTCAAATCGTGCCGCCAATGCCCTTGCTAGATTCGCCCAACCCTTCTTCACGGGCTCGAGACCCCCTAGTCCCCAAAGCAGTCGTGTGGATGGTCCCCGGTCGATCAGATCCAAATCACTGTAAGTGTTGCAGCTTTCTCACACCGCTCTGATATCCCTACTTCCCTAATCTAATCCCCATGTTTTTTTCCTCTTTGTTCTCTGCAATGACCCCCGCCATTCGGTCATCGGAGCTAGTGTGATCGGGGAAATTACATTTGAGCCAATAGAATTTTATGTTTCTAATTTTTTATGCTGTAAAGACCAGGAGAACCACAGACTGTGACCCACAAAACAGGCATCGCGATCACAGCTTTGGACATTTCACCTGAACGGACACATGCGGTTATCGCAGGCAAGGAGATTCTCAAAACCATTCAAGTCTCGCCAGACCGCTCGTCAGAAGAATTCAATATTCGAAATGCAGTCGTTAGCTATGCATCTACCCACCATGATGCGGGCGTTTCGATGCCACACAAGGACCAATTGAATGTGAAGGACGTAAAATGGTCACATGGCAACTATGACCGGATAGTCGCAACTGCAGTTGCGAATGGTCGGATTGTGGTATACGACCTACAGCGGCCCGGCCTCCAATTATGTCGTTTCCATGGTCACAACCGCCAGGTGCACAGACTTGCCTTCAACCCTCATCTCCCTTCTTGGCTCCTGTCTGGCAGTCAAGATGGCACAATTCGGATGTGGGATCTGCGATCCGCCTCCGCAAATCGGGGAACTTCCACGTGCGGCAGCAAACATTCGTATCAAGGCAACAGTGATGCGATCCGAGATGTCCGGTGGTCTCCTAACGATGGTGTCATATTTGCGACTGCTTCAGATAGCGGCGCGATCCAGATGTGGGACTATCGAAAGGTTAACGCCCCACTGCTGAGAATTGCCGCGCATGATCGCCCATGCTTCGCAGTTGACTGGCACCCAGACGGGAAGCACATTGTCAGTGGTGGCACAGATCGCCAAGTAAAGGTCTGGGACTTTTCTTCATCTGCAGAACGACGGCAGAAACCTGCATTCCAGTTCCGAACGCCGCAGGCGGTTACAAATGTGCGATGGAGGCCTCCTTCTTGGGTTGGTGAATCTCCTTCCTCGGGAGAATGGCAATCATCTCAAGTTGTCACATCCTATGACAAAGAAGACCCACGTGTCCACCTTTGGGATCTCCGTCGCCCGCACGTTCCATTCCGCGAATTTGATCGGTACGATTCGCCCGCATCAGATCTGCTCTGGCGCTCCAAGGATCTCCTGTGGACGGTCGGCGAGGCTGGGGCTTTTACCCAGACCGATGTTCGATATGCGCCAACTGTGGTCAATCGCCGACCGATGTGCTCCGTGGCCTGGAGTCCCAATGGCGAGTTTGTTGCGTTCAGTCAACAACGCCCCAGGCGACGCTATCTAGGAGTCAATGCTGCTGAGTTTCTACGTCCCGAAGAAGACGAGGACAGTACTGGCGAGAGATCACTAAGTCAAAGCCCCGCAGATGATATCTTCGATGAAGCCGTTTTGGCCACTTCTCTTCGGAATCGGCATATCAAATCGGCCGCGATTCGACCATCCAAGTCCTTGGGTAGTACTCCACCTGGAGTAGTCGATTTTATACCTGTGCTTCCTCTAGAGCAAGCATTAGCCAAACTTGCAACTCCAATGCCTAGTCAGGTGGGAATAATTACAAGTATTCCGGGTGCCACAAACGACCCAGCAGTATTTCGGTATTTGGCCAGCCACTATACACCATTGATGGATGAGCACAGTGAACATAGAACGCAGAACGACGTCCTGAACTCCTTGATTGAGTCACTGGACCATAACGCTGAATGCGCAGATGAGGTATCGCTGGCCAAATTGGCTCAGACTTGGAGAATTGTCAAATTCGCCATTCTTCAAGAACTCCAATGTAGAGCTAGGCATCATCCAGCGAAAGGTGGTCTAAAAGATAGGTCATCTAAGGATGGGGGCTTGCTAGATAGGTCACGACCCGATGATGGTCGACACGACAGAGTTAAAAGTCGGTTGTTCAAAGGGGTCATGGAGGCGGTCCCTGAGGCCGAGAGCTCGTCCAATATGACCACCCCTATTGCGCGACCATTGCCCGATTCCCCGAAAGACTCGTGGTCGAGCACTGACTCCCAAATTCCTTCGTTGAGCGATGGAGCGATCGACCTCGACCCTCTTCCGCCATCAGTCTTGAGTGATCATAATGGCTGGGGGATGTCCGACCGTATACCATTGCCACGTGGGCGACTATCATCAGTTGATGATGGTAATTCATCGAAGTATCTATGGGACGCTACACAAGAAGACTTGGACATAGAACAACGGTCTGCACCTCGAGCAATTGCCGGCAAATCAGATTGGCGCCGTCGTGATGACCCTGACTTCCCTCGGGAAAACTCAGAGGATGACTATGATCAAAAACTGGAGGATAAACGTGCAGCAATTCGCGACTACAAACAATTTCCCAAGAAACCCTTGACTCTTGAATCGCCAATGGAATCTAATCGGCCTCCTCGCACTGACCGCTATACTCGGCATGATTCTTCAGAGAGTTTCCCCATGTTCTCTACATCTACCGACAGTTCGCACCCCTCCAAGTCTATTGGGGCGTCGTACTCGTCTACTGGACAACTTGAGGCATCTAAATCTCTGGATGCCGGACAATCTGCCGCGACGCTGAGAAGAGGGTCGATTCTAGCTTCTACGCGTGAGGAATCCGAGGATGAGATGTTTGATCAGGTTGTCTCAGAGACTGATCGACTTCATCTGGAGCGCCCGTCGAGCCCTCCCCCTTTGATCACAGAATCAAGTCCCTTTGAAAGACACCAGCAATCATTCCCACCAGATGATACAGCTGATCTCGGCATGCCTTATTCAGCAGTGGGGGGCATCTCGCGAGTTCAAATCCCCCTCACGCCAGACGGAACAGACTTGAAACCGTGGGGTATTGAAGCGATTCTAAAAGAATCCGTCCGGTATTACCACAGCAGCAGTAGCTTAGTCGATATTCAGGCTGCCGCCCATCTTCTCCAGAAGCTGCACGTTCTGTTCCGGGATTGCGAACAAATTCTCCCATATGAAGAATGCGAAATGGTTTTCAAAACTTACAACGAGCACCTGATTCGGCACTCAATGGACCTCGAGGCAGCAGAGCTCCGTCTATTTTGTGTATCAACATACCCTGCCGTCTACGAGTACGCCCAGACAGACTCATTTATCAACGTCTATTGCTACACGTGTCAACGACCCTTTGAAAATTCCACCCAAGATAACAGCCGCTGCTATCGCTGCAACACACCTCAAGCACCATGCTCTATTTGCATGAGCCTTGATCCACCCCCAGAATGGGTTTCAGAGCAGCAAACTCCACTCATTACTTCATCGCCCTCGAGTCCCGATCTAGACTCTGAAAGCAGATCGACCCATTCGGCACAATCCTCAGTTCCCACTGAACCCATCCCAGCGGCAGAGATGGATATTATCGGGTCCTTCACTGTGCCTCGGCCCAAAGGCTCCGCCCTCTGGACCTGGTGCCAAGGCTGCGGTCACGGCGGTCATATAGCCTGCATCACAACCTGGCTCGGCGACATCTCAACCAGCGAAGGTGGATGTGCCACAGCTGGCTGCTCGCATGACTGCGGGCCTGGTCCACGTCGCGAACTAAACCGCCAAGCCTTGCAGGCGGAATCCAAGCGTCGCGACTCTGCTAGTCGCTCCGCCGGTGTCGGACTCGTCAAGCGCGATCCCTGGACCAAGGGTGAAAGTAAGGCTGTCGAAAAAGTCCGCGGCATGCTGGGAGTTGCTGGCGTTGCCGCTGCCACTGGTGGCAGTGGTGCTGGTCCGATCACTTCGACAAACAACACTTCCACTCCAGCGCCGGTTTCCCCCGGCGCCATGTCGCCTAAAAGGGTGCGGCTTGTTACCCCAAATGAACAAGAGAAGGAAAGTGTTGGCTTAGCTCGCACTGGTCCTCCTTCTAGGGACTGAGCTTGATTCTTGGGTAACGCTCAATGTGTAATATTATCAGCGCGTGTTTTTACTTTTACGTCTTCACTTCACTTTCTTGTCTTCTCTTTCTGTTTTTGATTCCCCAATCGCGATACTTTCAATCAATCAATCCACGGATTTAAGTGCACACCACCGAAGTGAATTTATCCGTAGTCACGTACTAGATAGAATATGTCGTACGCACGCACACAGCCATTCCCGCTGAATTACTTGGAAAAGGACTTGAAACACATTCTGAAAACATAAAATTTACACCTTCCCCCCACTCTTCATCTAGAACCTCCGCTTCTTCTTTGCAGGGGCTTTGCTCTTAGCCTCCAGCGACCTCTTAAGTTCCTTGCGCTTCCGGTCAGCCCGCTGGTCTTCAGTTTCCGGCTCTGTGGGTGGAGCGGAAGGGCCCTTCTCCGCTGCTAGTGTGGGCAATGGAGAAGACTCCTTTATAGGAACTTGCCGGTCAGCCTTCAGTTTAGCAGGTGCGGCTTTCTCATGAGATATGACCGTGTCAGATGAAGGTGGTGGAGACGCGTCTCGAGCGGGTTCGGAGGCTTTGGCTTTAGTTTTGCCGCCTATCATGCCGAGTTTTCCGGGACGTTTAGCTTTGACTGCCGCTGGTGCCGGTGTCTCTTCTGGTGACACCGAAGGTTCTTGGGACTTTAGAGAGTCACGAGTTTGTGCTGGAGGGGAAGGGGCTGGCGAAGGCGAGGGTTCTTTTGGTGCCTTCTTCTTGCCGCCTATCACACCCAATCCGCCCTTTGGCCTTTTCGGTGCCTCTCGTACTTGTGCTGGAGGAGAAGGGGGCTGAGGGGGAGATGGTGAGGGCTGACGCTCTGTTTCTTTCTTGCTCTTGCCGCCTATTTTACCGAGCCCACCCTTTGATACTTTCGGCGCTTCTTGAACTTGCGGTGGAGGGGGAGATGGCGAGGGTTGGCGCTCTATTTCCTTCTTGCTCTTGCCGCCAATTTTACCCAATCCACCCTTTGGAGCTTTCGGCGGCTCTCGGGCCTTTGGCGGCGGTGCGGCGGGCTCTGGCGACCCTGAGACGCTGGGAATGTGTCTTTGGCGCGGTGCTGGCTCAGACTCGTACTCGGAGTCTGATGCTGTGGCTTCGTCTTCCTCTGAAGGCAATACCGCCGGCGGAGGACTTTTCTTTCTGGGTTGTTGCTTGGGTGGTGATACTTTGCCTTTGCCATGTTGAGATTTCAATCTGGGAGGGGTTTCTTGTCGCTAGATGAATGAGGTTAAACTATACTTGTTATTTGTGGTTAGGAATAAGTCGTAGCATACCTGAAACTCATCGACATCGCTGCTTGCCGTTGAGTCCCCTCCTTCGTCGATATGCTTGGTTTCGATCGGCTCTCCTCTATCTTCCTCGTCGGGAACTTCCTCTTCGATAGAGGCGTCTATGGCGCTAGTCTCAGAGCGCCTCGCAAGCTGATGCCACCATTCACCTCCTGACTGGGTCAAGGTATCTAAATCATGAGCATCACCAGATTGCGAGATTTCCTGGAGTAAATTGGTGGCTAATCCCGGCCCGTCTGATACCCCTGTCTCAGCAAGCCAGGCCTGTTCCTCGAACGGCGCAATACCCTTGACAAACTTGGCAGCCTCGGACCGCGTGATAGCCTTGCGAGACATGCGCGATCCTGCAGCGCTAGGAAACACAGAACCTAGGTCAACGCCAATTGTTTCCATTTTGTCGAACAATTTGCCAAGTACGTAGTCTTTCTGTCTGATTTGGTTCAAGAGCGAACGTTGGCGGGACTCCCACTCCGCTTCCTCTCTCAGCAGCGGAAGTAATAGATTAATAGTCAAGGACGACAGTGGTTCTTTTGATAACCTTAAAGACCATTTAAGAGGCTTCAACGGGGCGGGCAGCTTGGTCGTTATCATGATTTCAAGGGAGTCAGTTTGCGTTCCACTGCTTAGGATCACGCTTCCATTGCCCTTTTGTAAAGCTTCTCCAATTTTCTCCAGGAGAACGTTGAGCTGCTCTGGGTCCTCTCCGGGATCGATGGTTGTGGCATCTTCCTCTGCTCTCTTGGCGATGGCTTTATTGGAGAGCCGCTCTGACCAGATATAGGTGAGGTCTGTTATGTGGATTTCATAGCCTTGCCGAGTCCATGTATACTGAAAGAGCAAAGGAGGTAATCCCTGTTGGGACAACTGAAGACGCTGCCATTTTGAAGGCATAACTTGAGCGACTTGTTGATTTACAAGGAGTTGTGAAGTTAAGAAGTTCCCAGGTTGTTGTCTCGTATAGCTGCCTGGGGCCATAAGGGAAGGTTTGCCGCCTGCTTGACTTTCCCGCTGATCTCCCGAACTTCTGACTTCGCATTTCGACATCCAAACTACATACGTTCGGGGCTACCTTTCGCTCTGATCCTTATTATTCGTTATACTCTTACAAGTTTTCACGATGTCTGCGCGATTTCCAAACCGATCAGACCAAAAGCGCAGCAGGTCGCGATCGCCATCCTCGTGGCGTCAGGCTCAGAAACATCCTCGTCGGGACGACGGCGAATGGCGCGATCGACAAGACTCGGATCGCAGATGGAATAATGATAGATCGGGCCCTTCGCAACAACCTCGCAACATGCGCGATCAAGTCCGGCTCAACTTAATCCAGGAAGACCAGCAAGAGCGCGAGTGGGTCGCGCAGGAGGATCTATTCGTGCTCAAGCAGGCAAAAAAGAAGGCAGAGATTCGAGTCAAGGAAGGTCGCGCAAAGCCTATCGACTGGTTGACGGTTACTCTCCGCATCATTGATCCTACGCGTGATCCCTTGGACGACGAGATAGCAGACTCCGATCTGGATGTTGTGGACCCGGACGGTGTGTTTGAGGGACTATCGCAGACTCAATTGAAGGACTTGGAGAAGGACATCGATACATTTTTGAATCTTGAGACAAATGCGAAGAACCGCGAATTCTGGCAGGTAATGTTCTCCCTCTCTGCTATCCACTGGACACCCCCGTTGACCACCGTTCGCTCTACAGACTATGAAAGTTATCTGTCGAGATCGTCAAAAGACCGTTACACCCGAGGGTCGCGCACTCAATTCTGTGGCTGCTGATATCAACAAACTACTAAGCCCGAAGACCTACGAGCAGCTCCAAAATCTCGAAGTACAAGTGAAACGAAAGTTGAACTCGAATGAGCCGATCGATACAGATTACTGGGAAGAGCTGCTGCGCAGTCTGACTGTGTGGAAGGCCAGGGCGAGTCTGAAAAATGTTTATCAAGCGATTATTGATGAACGTGTTCGCGACCTGAGGAGACAACAAAGACAGGAAGCCGAATCAATTCGGGAAAAGCTTGCTCCTCTCGCTCCGGTTGTCAATACGGGTGATGCAACAAATCATGCTGAGTTTGAAAGTCTGGATCCAGAGCCGTTGCTCCAGGTTCGCCCGGAGGACAAAGGCTTGGAAATCATGGACGAGTCTGCATTCCTTAACCAAGTAGTATGTTTTAGGCTTCCTCTCATTTATCCCAACCCACATGCTAATTAAATGCGCAGGCCCGCGAACGCCAGAAAATTATCCGTATGGGTTTTGTCCCACTACGACACCGAGCAGTAGAGAAGCCCTCCGCAATAGTGTCGAATCCGACATCTACCAATGCCCCCGCGGCCTCTGTATCCACGCGGTTCTCGTCCATCCCGAACGAGGACTTCTCACAAGCGACTAAAGCACTATATGAAAGGGAGCTCGCCAAGGGTGTCAGTGAAAATGAGGAAATATTTACAGGCGAAGAGGCCGTGAGCACGAGCTCACAACCTCAATGGGCCGGTAAGCATCGACCTCGAAAGCCGCGGTACTTCAATCGAGTTCAAATGGGTTATGAATGGAACAAATACAATCAGACCCATTATGACCATGACAACCCGCCACCCAAGGTTGTACAAGGTTACAAATTCAACATCTTCTACCCCGACTTGATCGACAAGACCAAAGCCCCGACTTACCGGATTGAGCGTGAGAACGGTCGCAAACGTGGCGAGTCATCGGCCGAAGCGGGTGAGGAAGATACCTGTCTCATTCGATTCATGGCTGGACCTCCATACGAAGACCTTGCCTTTCGAATTGTCGACAAAGAATGGGACTATAGTGCCAAACGAGAGAGGGGTTTCAAGAGTACATTTGACAAGGTATGCTGTGCTACTAGATGGTCTCTCTGTTTCTCAACTGACGTGATTATTTCCTTTTAGGGAATTCTTCAACTTCATTTCCAATTCAAACGGGTAAGTTTCTCTTTTGGTTTTTTTTTCGAAGATAATACTAACAAGTCTCAGATCTATTATCGAAAGTAACACATGCGCAACAAATCCACATGGGCGTCATATCGGGATGGAGAGAAAGTGGGCTATAGTGTATGCAGGGAGATGTTCGGGGAAAGGGGGGGAATGTATTTTCCAGTGACTTGATATCCAGTGATCCAGGTGAACCCCGGATTGATTGGACTGGAAATATTTCCCCCAAAGTTTTCGCAGAATAAGCCGGACTTGATATCTGGAGATATCAATGCTTGATTTAACCACTTCTTAAATTTGACCGTCTTATCACCCTTTTTTCTCTTGCCTATAATCTTTCAGGGGGTGATCAAACTTTCTTGTCTTGGCCATAACTAGTGTATCAACACTATCTCTCTCTCTTTTTTTTTTCTTTTCTTATTTTGCTAATACTCGCAACACAGACGTTGTCCTTTTGGGTGACACTATCCCGGCCTGCAGGAGTAGGATGTATTCCTGACTTCCGGCTGGTTAGATGCATTGAGAAAAAGAAACAATTTGGCTATGAGAACAAAAAGAACTTTAGCAGCTCATAACTTCCAGAAAGGCCGGAATGAAGCCGGTGTAAATGGCGACTTCCTGCAGGTTCCCATTCGACCATTTGACCATTTGACCATTTGACCATTTGACCATTTGACCATTTGACCACCCCGTTCTGGCTAGGAGACTGGTCCTATTCGTTCTAGTGGCATGTAGCATGTAGCACCAGATTCAGCCACTTTGACCTCCTGGCCATTGTATGCTCCGTTGCACGAGGCAATCTATGTTTTTTGATTTTGATTTTTTTGAATTTTCTTTTTTTTTTTTTTTGAAAATACGGAGACCTTCAATACATCCAGACCGTCTTTTGCTTAGAAGCATCTATGAGGTTATTTGCAGAGAGAATATGATGTGTTGGCATTATACAGCTCCAAATCTTCATCCTTTGACAACTCTTATCTCTTCTTTTTCCCCTTCTCATTCTTGTTTCCTCTTCAATATTATCTTCTCATATCCTCTCCCCCGCACTTTCATGCTTCTCTTTCTCTTTACTCTTCCACTCTTCTACCCTTCTATCATCCACATCAAGTCAATATCACGGCTGGATGTTGCCTTGCTCAAACATGGATTTCTCATTTCCCTCGCACCATTTCGACAGGGTCCAGATTTCAGACCAAGACCCCAAGCCTGATCTACTGTCACAACCAGAAGCACCATCTCAGGGCACTAGTAATCTCACGGCGACTACTAATGGATTCAGTGTAGCTGACTGGGCGAGATGGAGATCCCAGTCAGCTCCTCTGTCTCCTCGTCACTATGAAGGTTACAGTCTTCCTCATGTTGCTGATGGTGAGACATACGGCTTGGGCCCGTTGCCTCAGGAGCCCATTGGGGATCCAAATGGGTATCTCGATTACCGCACAAATGTCAACCCCGGCATAGCTACCGCAACCTTTGAGGCATTGGCTCCTCAGGTCGATGATGGCCACTCAGATTGGCCACTTCTGCAATCACCCCATGCCTTCAAAGACCAGTCATACAACTATCCCCAGTTGGTACCTTTTCAGCCACCTCCAGACTCCCCGCCGTCGCCACTTTCTGAGGTCTCGTCCTACCACTCTCCGCAATCCCTTGCTGCTTCGAGCCCGGGAATGGCGAACCCAACAGGGGATCGTCTTTCACCACGTTCAAGCACTGGTGACAATAGAGAGGAGCGTCCTGGACAGCCTCCTTACTCTGTTCTCATCTACCAGGCCTTGAAGGAAGCACCAGGCAACAAGCTTCAACTCCAGAGCATTTATGCCTGGTTTGAAGCAAATACAGACAAGGGAGGGGACCCAAACGCAAAGGGGTGGCAGAACAGTATTCGACATAATCTCTCAATGAACGCGGTAAGTCTCACTTCTCATAACTCATTCCCTCACTTCTTTGTTACCATGCATTTGATTCAATATCTGCTATATTTGATATCAACACTAATCCTATGTCTAGGGATTCGAGGCAGTAAAGGAAGAAGTTGGTCCAGGCAAGAAGGCAGTGAACTTCTGGAGGCTGACTCCGGAGGCTATCCACAGCGGCGGCATCCAATCAACTACTCGTTACCGCAAGCTTCAACACCAAAAGAAAGCCGTGGGCTCAGGCCACCGTGGACCCACACGTCAGTCCTCGGAGTCCAAGAGAGTCCCTGCCACGAAGGTTGTCAAATCACGCAGCACGAACAGTCCCCATAGCGAGCGCGCCGAAGCATATCATCATCAAGTACTAAACACCAACCTCAATATAGGACATGAATACGATCCAATGAGCTTTCCAGCCACCCAAAGACATATGCAATACCCCATGGGTCCTATTGTCGGGTGCACCCCATTACAAGACAACAATACGGTCTTTGTCGATACCAATGGACCAGGGTCAGCATTTGATGTGGGCCATGATTGGTATGCTCCAGGGTCGGGCTTCAACCGGGTCCAGGATCCACTTGATGGACCCGGTCGATCATCATGGGATTTGAAAAAAGAAATTTAAGCAAACCAAACTGGAGGGGAGGGGAGGGGGGGGAGGGAGTGGTGGAGGTGATAGGACAAGATTTAGCGATGGAAAAGCGCGGAGAAGTTGGAGTACATGCTCAATTGTTTTTTTCTTTTCAGTTTTCCTGATTTCCACGCCTTTTTTCTTTACTAATTTTCAGGCCATTGGTCGAAACCGTGGTCATTGAGCACACTAGAGGCATGGCGTTATCTGAAGTGCCCATTTATTTTTGAATTCAGAATGTATTTGGCGGGCGTTCCACGGAGCCACATGGCAAAGGAGATCTATCTGCAATTTTTTCACTTCTCTAATTTGCTTTTTATGTTAAGTTTTCTCTCTTTTTCAGTTCTGGCATGAGCAACACATATTTTCTTTTCAAATGTACCATAAGCGGGTGTTTCTGAACTTTGAATCCTCAAGATTCCAATCAAGATCAATCACAAAGGCACAGATGGTGTCAATCGTCGCTCTTTGTCATGTCTACTACTCCATATTAGATCTTCAATAGCGCGCTTGAGTCATGTATCTCATATGATCTCGCTTCTCAAGTCCCACATGTCTCCAGTTCCAAATGTACATTGTAATATTGGGCATGAATAATGCCAAGAAATGAAAAATATCCACGCTTCTACTGCTTAGCCCCCAGATTTCTGTATTGAATAAGCAGTAACTCCTCCGTATTCATTAGCATTGCTCTTGTATGTAGCATGGACCACATGCTGTGCTGCTGATAACGCCTCTCACGCTTGCACAGCGGTGTCTCAAGTGACAGGAATAGCCTCCAACCATAGTAAAAGGAAAACATGTTGACCACCTGCATGTCTCCATTAAACCTAGGGACATTACAGGGGACTTTACTTCTTACAGAGTACGGAGTACAATGGAGCGCATTTGGCGTCCTTCCTTTTTAGTTTTCTTTAGCCTTTCTTGACAGCTTCTGTCCTTAATTAGCCACGCTGACCAACCCCACTAACACCCCGCTATACTATATAGTCTATCCACTAATACAGTAGTCCAGGGTGCTGGGGCGACGCGGACATCCTTGGCTGCATCGGCTGCATCGGCTGCTGCGTGTTGCGTTTCCCATGACCATGTCTCCTCCCTGTCATTACCCACTTCCCCTATTGTCGGTGTCCCGGGAGAAGGGAATCTGATACCCTCGTTTTCAGATACCAAATCATAGGGACCGTGCGGACCCTATTTTTCCTTTTTTTTTACCATAGTGTATTCCCAAGGAAACCACCCCTGCTGAAACTACCGAGATAGAGGAGCTCAATTGTAGGGATGCTATAGTTCGGACATAGTAACATACTACGGAGTACATCTCCTGTATTATCAATTTCTTTTCCTAAGTTATGCAATTTGTCCTCCATAAGGGCAATTATCTATGCACTAGTCAATCAGAAGATTTCATATTGTAATGCCATGCCTATGACAGGCTCGTGCGATAGGGAGATCGGCACGCCAGTGAAAATGCGAGACTGACAACATGGCCTATTATGTTTCCCTGTAATATTACGAGGCAGAGTGAACAAATTGTGAAAATAATGCTGTTATATATGGTTATCATGAATTATCATTATTACCCGGTTTGCAGGTGGAGAGTATATAAATACATACGTACTTAAAGAATACCACTAGGGTATGAGCAACTTGCATCCGCGGACATGCAGCGCAGTAGGTTTTATGCTGTAATTAAGGAGCCACTCATATTAGACAGTAGTATGTACCTGTGCATCGTCATACAGGTGGCAGCTGCAATGCCGTTCACAACGCGGCTGAATATGCCAGTACATATTTGAAGTTGAGTTTCGAAGGCCCCCCACGGGCCGTGCCGATTGTAACTTATTTTTTATATATACTAGATTAGATGTTCGTATTCTTCTTAGATTGGAGCAAAAGGGCAATTGGGCAGTTTTCGATCTTATTATTAATCTAACCCTAACTCCAGGGCTGCTTAGGGCTATTATACAAAATGCGTTTACTGCCTATGTACTTCGTACTTGTTGTGCACATGTGTACACCAATGCCCTCAGTGCCAATTTTAACTCCCGCTTGGACCCTTTCTTAAGCCAAATAGGGTATGAGATCCTCTCGTGACAGTCTGCAGCTTAATTAGTGGCCCAGCTGAGTGGGAGTTCGCTGTTAGACATAGGGTAGAGTAGATTGTCCAACCGCGTCCCGCAGTATTACCAATCGTGTACTGACAATCACTAGCTTCCTTTGTTAAATGGGGGCCGAGCTCTTAGCGTACATCTTACTACAACATACGGAGTAGGCTAGCGATGAACCCAATCACCCAGTGAGAGGGGCGCTCCTACTATGACGGTTCCGATGTCCCTCAGATGCTATGTCCTCATCTCACTGTCTGTGTACTCTGTATATTGATCTCTTTCTCTTTCCTTATATTTTGCTTTTCTTTTCTTCTTGACGTACATACCCATATGTTACGTCCATAGTGTATTTGAAATATGATCTTCGTATTGATCTTTCTAGAGAGGTTTAGGGTCTTCCATGCAGGGTAAATAAAGGCAGCCAATATCAATAGTCTCGATTGCAAGCGCAAGGACCTTCAGGCACAGCCCCACCGTTCAACCCGAAAAAATTCACGTTATCAGTATCAGTTCGAGCCCAATCCAGGGTTCATCCTAGATAGATTTCGATCTGTCAATTATTCAGTAAGGCAAATCGGGAACATGAGAAAGGGGTACTCCATAAATCTCGTCATTCTTTTGATCTGCATGACATCAATTGACGCGGGTATGGAGGTGTCACTTAATATGTACTCAGTAGCCGATAGGTTGTCCAGCCTGCTGGAATCCGGGATTTGCAGCCGGTAAGCCCCAAAGTTTTCTCTTTGCAATGTAGGTTATAAGGAAAAAGGAAAGGTTTTGAGGAAAATATACCATTTGATATAAAATATAGTATTAGTAGCCTCTTTTATTTCCATTCCGGCTTTCTATTCTCGTATAAACCGCACGAACCTCTTCCCGTTGGGCGTTTGTGGGATGGAACGGCCCGGTTCGACAGCTGTCAATTATGCATACGCTCGAGCTTTCTGTGACAAGCGCCCTCGGAATAGGTAATTGGAGGGAGTAATGCGACACAGTACAATCGCCTGACCGCTTCTTGAGCCCCAGCCCAAGGCCGATCCCATTGTCTGCTGTCATCCGTATCCCTGGGTCCGATCAGAGGCGGCAATAGTTCCGCACCTCTTTGCTTTTTTTACAGTAAAAGAAAAAAAAAAAAGAGATATTCGGATCCGAGGTAGGTTACTTATTCTATTGGCTAATTCGAAAGGGGATTGGACCAATTGCAGCGATCACGTACTTCACATATGCGCTACGTACTCCGTACTCCGTACTTAGTAAAACAATGGAAGTAGAGGGATTGATCTTCATTGGTACACCGGCACTTTGACCCTTCCATATACCTAAACTGGTGGTGGAGCAGATATATTAGATCTTTAATTTGTTTTTGTTACTAGTTCACATAATTGATTTTGAACCCTAAAAAGTACCTGTGGACTTAGGCCTCGGGAATGCCCGTAAGTAACTCCAGTGTATCTTCAACCAATCTCATTTGCAGCCTCGAGCAGGTCAAGGCACAAAGGACCTGCAGCATGAAAGCTCCTGCCTGAAATAGCAGTCCAAGATATCGAGAATACTCGTTTCTATATTTTCAATACAGCTCTTTTGATTTCAATTACTATGGCCCGTATACGCAGATCCAGCTCACAGATTATATGTGGATTAATGTAAATCTTTTACGAACACATTTGGAAAATATATCTTCAAACTAGAGGTATTCTACAGTAAAGGCCCTGGGAGCTTTCCCGACAAGCGGTGTCGTTTAACCCTAAGCCTGACGCATGGCTGGTCAGTGTTTCAATCTGCTGAAGAACTTAACCCCGCGGACATATACACCCCTCACAATGACATTAACAGACCTTCTATGGTTGAATATAGTAGTCAATACCCTGTAGTAAAGAGACATGTATTCCCCTTTCAGCTATGCTTCGAATATTATGAAAGGCAGCTACTTGGCGCAGAAGAGCATCGCTTTACTAATTAAATCTAGACCAAGCTATACCTAGGGTAAGTGTTGTATTTACAGCATGAGCTATAGAGTGGCTTATGGCATTATGTTCAATGTTGGTTGATATTGGAAGATTGGTACAACAGAAGTGGTGTGCGCGTTCGCGTCCAAGAGAAAAATTGTGAACTGGAAATACTGTTTTAGGTGCTTGCGATAACTATTGATGCCTAGGTAAGCCTACTCAATTGTGTCAAAACTGCCATGCAGTTGGATAATAAATTGTGATTCTGAGCACCGAAGGCGAGTTTCAAAATGCAGAGAAGAAGTCAAAATAGACAGTGGGAATGTTGCATGCTCCTCTCTTGATGCTGCAGAAAGCGTTGAGATATAAATATGTTGTTCACATGCACATTTTCAATTTTTATTCCTGAGAAAAGACGGTCTGTATCGAAGCCTTAGGTTTTCTATAACGTTCATTAATAGTGAACAAAAGAGAGCTAGGCTTCTATCGAACAGAAAGCCATACTCTATATACTAAAATAGTTCTAGAGGTCCTAATCGATGGACCACAGGCTGGAAGATATCCAGAGATATCCAGCATCACACAGTTTGGAATGTTTAACCAGGTATTTCCAGAAAAAGGACGAGACAGCAGCTATAGGAGAGTTATACATACTTGAGTGAGGTGAGTTGACTTGGTCAAATATTTTATTCACCCGTAAGTACAAGGCCTAGATCAATTGACCAGACCAAGTGGGGTCTTAGTTGCACGTAGGTAATGAATAGCACTAGCTTCTACGAGATCGAGACCGAGATCACCCAGGTACACTTTACCCATGGATGCTAGGAGAATTACACTCGGCTACGGTTGTCAACCTGGAGAACGCCCTTGTACTACTCAGCGATAACTACGTTTCGTCTGAACCTGAGGGCGTGGGCGCCTATACCTGGTGCAGATCAACAAGAGATGTTGGTGGGCTGAAAGATATTGCCCGTCCCCCATTATAGCCCTGCAGACTTACCCAAATGTGTCAACAGCTAGAGATCGAGTGCCACAATTTCTGACTGAAACAAACACAACATGTACGAGGCTTCCACCCGGGAAGCCGATTCAAGACCACGGGAATAATTTCAGACAACTTGATTCGACATGTCAGGGAATCTCTCATGAAGGTAAATGAAATTGATTCATTTGCTTAGCCACGAGCCTTTTTTTTTGGACTCGTGTGCTAGCTGTTCCTGTTCATCTTTAATATTTTAAGAGAACCATTCCCAGCCGTTTTTCCCCTAACGTTCGCTCCACCGTAAAAGGACAACACCGACAAAAAGCACGCTTAGCGCTTGGCGGCCTTCTGCTGGGACTCCTTGAGGACCTTCTTGACGATCTTCTGCTCCTCAATCAGGAAGGCACGGACAATGCGGTCCTTGACGCAGCCAGCGCAGCGAGAGCCACCGTAGGCACGGCTGACATTCTTCTTGGGGCGCGAGATCTGAGAGTACTCGCGGGGACGGAGGGCAGGGATCTGTTAAAAATGAAAACGTCAGCCAACGACTCCAAAATTCAGCAAGACGGTCGTAAGGATGTTGTAGCGTTTCGGTTGGCCATTCATTCGTACACCTGTCCATCCAAACAGAGTTTTTTTCAAGTCGTTCGGTTGGCCCACACGCAATCGCACACATCCCACACAACCGTCCAAAAATGCACCAGGGATGCCAAGGGAGTACTCACACCGGGGAGCTTGATGCCGCAGTCACCGCACTTGGGAGCAGTACCCTTCTTCTTCAGGTGAAGGTAACGGAGCTCGCCGCCGGGGGTCTTGATGATGCGAACCTTGTTGGACCGCGTGTTGTACCTATTGAAAGCAAAAAAACCCGTCAATAACTCGTTCGAAATGGTGATAGCCATCCTGCTACTAGAATCATCGTGTAGATTATGGTGGTGCGATGGATTGGTCTTTAGGGAGAATTTTGAACGTACGGGTTCCGGCGGCGCTGGAAATCGAGAAGAGTCAGATCAATAATTTTCCGGTCAGGATTTCCGGATAGAACTCACGTATTGCAGTCTGTTGTTGGTCATCTTGACTGTACTTGAACTGGTCAAGGGCGGCAGTTGTCGGAGTTGTCGTAAAGCAGAGTGAAATATGTCGAGATGGGTTTGTGTGGGTTTCTGCTTCAGCCGACGCTAGCGCATATTTGGCGAGGTTGCGCTAGTCCCAATGCGGAATAGTGCAAGTCGGAGCCGCCACTTCTCAAAGTTCTACGGAGACAGGAGCAGAGATAGTCACATCGCGTAGGGGATCGTGGATCTCTATCTTTGTCGCGTTTTCATCTTAATCTTCCATCTCCCCATCACCCAGCTCTTTTCTTCCAGTTGTATTTCTTTTTTTGCTAGCTGGACGTCTTGCTACATATGACCTCCAACCTGGCTTGACGCGACTTGGAACCAACACAACCTCTACGAGGGAGGGTTCCATCCATCACTTACCATCATGGCATCATTGCCCCCTCCCCCTCCCCCCCCTCCAGGATGGGGTGCAGCTCCTCCTTCTCTGCCAATGGCGCCGCCGCCCCCGGGATACCAGCCGCCGGCCGACCCGAATGTCGCAAAATTTGCGCAGAAGAAAAACGAATGGCTGCGCACGCAACGTAATCGGTTTGGTGAGAAGCGCAAAGCAGGATTTGTCGAGACACAAAAGGCCGATATGCCACCAGAGCATCTGCGAAAAATCGTGCGAGATATTGGCGATGTTTCACAGAAGAAATTCACCAACGAAAAGCGGAGCTATCTCGGTGCGCTCAAGTTCATGCCTCATGCCGTCCTCAAGCTATTGGAAAACATGCCGATGCCTTGGGAGTCAGCAAGAGAAGTTAAGGTTCTTTACCACGTCAACGGCTGTCTGACTTTAGTCAATGAGACACCGCGTGTCATCGAACCTGTCTTCCACGCCCAGTGGGCAACGATGTGGATGTCCATGCGTCGGGAGAAAAGTGATCGGAGACACTTCAAGCGGATGCGTTTCCCCCCATTTGACGACGAAGAGCCGCCTCTTTCGTGGTCGGAAAACATTGAAGATGTTGAACCATTGGAGCCTATTCAGATGGAACTGGATGAGGCCGAAGATGCCGCAGTTTATGAGTGGTTCTATGACCACCGTCCTCTTCTCGATACTCCTCATGTGAATGGTCCGAGCTACAAGAAGTGGAATTTGTCTCTTCCTCAGATGGCCACTCTCCATCGACTCAGTCACCAGATTCTGAGTGATGTTATCGACCAAAACTACTACCACATGTTCGACCTGAACAGCTTTTTCACAGCTAAGGCTCTTAACGTCCCCATTCCTGGTGGACCCCGTTTCGAGCCTTTGTACAAAGATATCGATCCTAATGACGAAGATTTCAGCGAGTTCAACGCCATCGACCGCATCATTTTCCGTGCCCCGATTCGAACTGAGTACCGGGTCACCTTCCCTTTCCTCTACAATACCCTGCCTCGAAGCGTCAAAGTCGCTTGGTACTCGCATCCCCAGGTTGTCTACGTTCTTACCGAGGATCCCAACCTCCCGGCTTTCTACTTCGACCCCGCCATCAACCCGATCTCCTCCCGCTCCGTCGCCCCTAAAAATATCACCGTCAGCCACGAAGACCAAATCTTCGGGCCTGGCAATAATGAAGACGACGAATTCGAGCTTCCCGGTGAGGTCGAACCTTTCTTCGATGACGAAGAACTTTACACATCCGACACCGCGTCTGCCATTGCCCTGTGGTGGGCCCCTCACCCATTCGATAAGCGATCTGGCAAGATGGTTCGTGCTCAGGATGTGCCATTGGTCAAGCATTGGTACTTGGAGCACTGCCCAGAGGGTCAGCCTGTCAAAGTCCGAGTCTCATACCAGAAAATGCTCAAGACCTACGTTCTTAACGAACTGCACAAGGGTACACCCAAGGCTCAGAGCAAGCAGAATCTCATGAAGACTCTCAAAACGACCAAGTTCTTCCAGCAAACAACGATCGACTGGGTAGAGGCTGGTTTGCAAGTTTGTCGCCAGGGTTTCAACATGCTGAACCTGCTGATTCACCGCAAAAATTTGACTTACCTCCATCTTGATTACAACTTCAACCTGAAGCCTGTTAAGACATTGACCACGAAGGAGCGTAAGAAGTCTCGTTTCGGAAATGCTTTCCACTTGATGCGTGAAATCCTCCGGTTAACTAAGCTCATCGTCGATGCCCAAGTCCAATACCGTCTGGGTAACATTGATGCCTTCCAACTCGCAGATGGTATTCTTTATGCCTTCAACCACGTGGGCCAGCTTACCGGTATGTATCGGTACAAGTATAAGCTTATGCACCAGATCCGTTCCTGCAAGGATCTGAAACATTTGATTTATTACCGATTCAACTCTGGCCCCGTTGGAAAGGGCCCTGGGTGTGGTTTCTGGGCGCCCGCTTGGCGTGTTTGGCTTTTCTTCATGCGTGGTATCATTCCCTTGCTTGAGCGCTGGCTTGGAAACTTGCTTTCTCGTCAGTTTGAGGGTCGTCACAGCAAGGGTGTTGCCAAAACGGTCACCAAACAGCGTGTAGAATCTCATTTCGATCTGGAGTTGCGTGCCTCCGTCATGGCCGATCTTATGGACATGATGCCCGAGGGTATCAAGCAAAACAAGGTCAACGTGGTTTTGCAACATCTATCAGAAGCCTGGAGATGTTGGAAGAGTAACATTCCATGGAAGGTTCCTAGCCTGCCTGCACCGATTGAGAACATTATTCTTCGTTACGTCAAAAGCAAGGCCGACTGGTGGATCTCCGTCGCTCATTACAACCGAGAGAGAATTCGCCGTGGTGCCACCGTTGACAAGACTGTCGCAAAGAAGAACCTTGGTCGACTCACGCGTCTCTGGCTCAAGTCCGAGCAGGAGCGTCAGCACAACTATATGAAAGACGGCCCTTATGTTTCTTCTGAAGAAGGTGTTGCAATTTACACCACCATGGTTCACTGGTTGGAGTCTCGCAAGTTCTCCCCAATTCCCTTCCCCAGTGTTTCCTACAAGCACGACACCAAAATTCTGATTCTTGCACTCGAGCGGCTGCGCGAGTCATACTCTGTGAAGGGAAGACTGAATCAAACCCAGCGAGAAGAATTGGCTCTCATTGAACAGGCCTACGACTCCCCCGGCACAACCTTGGCGAGAATCAAGCGATTCCTCTTGACACAGAGAGCGTTCAAGGAGGTCAAGATTGATATGAACGATAACTACAATAACATCAATCCTGTCTACGACATCGAGCCCATTGAAAAGATCACGGACGCTTATTTGGATCAGTACCTTTGGTACCAATCAGAGCAGCGCCATCTCTTCCCCGCTTGGATCAAGCCCTCCGACTCTGAAGTTCCTCCTCTACTCACATACAAGTGGACACAAGGCATCAACAACCTGTCCAATGTCTGGGAGACTTCCGAAGGCGAGACGAACGTCATGATTGAGACTGAGCTGTCCAAGGTCTATGAGAAGATTGATCTCACTCTGCTGAACCGGCTACTCCGTTTGATCATGGACCACAATTTGGCTGACTACATCACCGCGAAGAACAATGTTCAGCTCAGCTACAAAGACATGAACCACACCAACAGCTATGGACTGATTCGCGGTCTCCAGTTCTCGGCCTTCGTGTTCCAGTACTACGGGTTGATGATCGATTTGTTGCTCCTTGGTTTGCAGAGAGCCAGTGAAATGGCCGGCCCTCCCGGAAGTCCCAATGATTTCTTGCAATTCAGAGACCGTGCCACTGAGACAAGGCACCCCATCCGTCTGTACACCCGTTACGTTGACAAGATCTGGATCTTCTTCCGATTCCAGGCCGATGACTCCCGTGACCTGATTCAGCGGTTCTTGACCGAGAATCCTGACCCTAACTTTGAGAACGTCATTGGTTACAAGAACAAGAAGTGCTGGCCTCGCGATTGTCGTATGCGCTTGATGCGCCACGATGTCAACCTTGGTCGTGCTGTTTTCTGGGACATGAAGAACCGCCTCCCCAGGTCCATGACCACCATTGAATGGGATGATACATTCGCCAGCGTGTACAGCAAGGACAACCCCAACTTGCTCTTCTCGATGAATGGATTCGAAGTCCGGATTCTACCCAAGATGCGGAATTTGAACGAGGAGTTCTCAGTCAAAGACAGTGTCTGGTCGCTGGTCGATAACTCCACCAAGGAACGTACGGCACATGCCTTCCTCCAGGTTACTGAAGAGGATGTTCAAAAATTCAATAACCGTATCCGACAAATCCTAATGTCCTCTGGTTCGACCACTTTCACCAAGATTGCTAACAAGTGGAACACTGCTTTAATTGCTCTTTTCACTTACTACCGCGAGGCTGCGGTGTCGACTGTCAACCTTCTCGATACCATCGTGAAATGTGAAACAAAGATCCAGACTCGAGTCAAGATTGGTCTTAACTCTAAGATGCCTTCTCGTTTCCCTCCGGCGGTGTTCTACACACCCAAGGAGCTTGGAGGTCTTGGCATGATCTCAGGATCTCACATCCTCATCCCCACCAGTGATAAGCGTTGGTCTAAGCAGACCGACACTGGTATCACCCACTTCCGAGCGGGTATGTCTCATGACGAGGAAACATTGATTCCAAACATCTTCCGATACATCATCCCCTGGGAAGCTGAGTTCATTGACTCTCAGCGTGTTTGGATGGAATACTCGCAGAAGCGTATGGAAGCCCAGCAGCAAAACCGTCGCCTTACATTGGAGGATCTAGAGGACAGCTGGGATCGTGGTCTTCCCCGTATCAATACGCTCTTCCAAAAGGATCGAAGTACCCTCAGCTTTGACAAGGGCTTCCGACTCCGCGCTGAGTTCAAGCAATACCAGCTGATGAAGAGCAATCCGTTCTGGTGGACCAACCAGCGACACGATGGTAAACTCTGGAATCTCAATGCCTACCGCACTGATGTTATCCAAGCATTGGGTGGTGTCGAAACAATCCTCGAGCACACCTTGTTCAAGGCGACAGCTTTCCCATCTTGGGAGGGTCTGTTCTGGGAAAAAGCGTGTCTCGCCAAGGGAACCCGTCTATTGCGATACGATGGGACCGAAATCAATGTCGAGGACGTGCGCGAAGGTGACCAACTTCTAGGTCCCGACGGTGAGCCTCGCCGTGCATTCAACATAGTGAATGGCACCGACCGCCTATACCGCATCAAGATCGGCGGTGATAGAGAAGATCTTGTGGTGACGCCGAATCATATTCTGGTGCTTTATAGAGAGGGTGCCTCCGATGGTCCGGAAAGGCAGACGGTGGAGATGACTGCTGCCGAGTTTGCTGCCCTTTCTACCGAGGAGAGAGGCCTGCATAGCGCCTTTACATCTGCTAGGGCTGAGAAGGGTGTTGAGCGTTCAGCTCCTCAGACGCACAGTTTCAAGATTGAGCACATTAGCCTTGAACCTGAGGAGACCGAATGGGCTGGTTTCCGAGTCGACAAAGATCAACTTTACCTGCGCCATGACTACCTTGTCCTGCACAACAGTGGTTTCGAAGAAAGTATGAAGTTCAAGAAACTCACCAACGCTCAGCGGTCCGGTCTGAACCAGATTCCCAACCGTCGATTCACTCTCTGGTGGTCGCCGACCATCAACCGCGCCAACGTCTACGTTGGTTTCCAGGTGCAACTTGATCTGACTGGTATCTTCTTGCACGGCAAGATTCCCACCCTGAAAATTTCGTTGATTCAAATTTTCCGTGCGCATTTGTGGCAAAAGATCCACGAATCGGTGGTTATGGATTTGTGTCAAGTTTTAGATCAGGAATTGGAGCAGCTTGGCATCGAGGCTGTTCAGAAAGAGACTATTCACCCTCGTAAATCTTACAAGATGAACAGCTCTTGTGCGGATATCCTGCTCTTCGCGACGAACAAGTGGAATGTCACCCGACCTTCACTTGTATTCGACACTAAGGACGTCTACGAGCCAACCACCACAAACAAGTTCTGGATCGATGTGCAGCTCAGATATGGTGACTACGATTCTCACGACATTGAGCGGTATGTTCGTGCTAAGTACCTCGACTACACCACGGACAGCATGAGTATCTATCCTTCCGCCACTGGATTGATGATTGGCGTTGATCTTGCATACAACCTCTTCTCGGCTTACGGACAGTACTTCCCAGGCCTCAAGACCCTGGTTCAACAAGCCATGGCTAAAATCATGAAAGCTAATCCAGCTTTGTATGTCTTGCGTGAGCGTATACGCAAGGGTCTCCAGCTGTATGCCTCGGAGAGCAGTCAGGAGTTCCTCAATTCTCAGAACTACTCCGAGCTCTTCAGCCCGCAGATTCAGCTCTTTATTGATGACACTAACGTCTATCGCGTCACGATCCACAAGACCTTTGAGGGTAACTTGACCACAAAGCCCATCAACGGCGCAATCTTTATCTTCAACCCTCGGACTGGACAATTGTTCCTGAAGATCATCCACACCAGTGTCTGGGCAGGTCAAAAGCGTCTGGGTCAGTTGGCCAAGTGGAAGACAGCCGAAGAAGTTGCAGCACTCATTCGGTCTCTCCCAGTGGAAGAACAACCGAAGCAGCTCATTGTCACCCGTAAGGGTCTTCTTGACCCTCTCGAGGTCCACTTGCTTGATTTCCCCAATATCTCCATTCGTGCCTCTGAGCTCCAGCTGCCCTTCCAGGCCGCCATGAAGGTCGAAAAGCTGGCCGATATGATTCTCCGTGCGACTGAGCCTCAAATGGTACTTTTCAACTTGTATGATGAGTGGCTCAAGTCAATCTCCCCGTACACTGCGTTTTCTCGACTCATTCTCATTCTCCGGGCTCTTCACGTCAACATCGACAAAGCCAAGATCATTCTTCGGCCCGATAAGACCGTTATTACTCAAGAGCACCACATCTGGCCATCCCTGTCTGATGAGGACTGGATCAAGGTTGAAGTGCAATTGCGTGATCTGATCTTAAACGATTATGGCAAGAAAAACAACGTGAACGTGCAGAGTTTGACCAGTAGCGAAGTTCGTGATATTATCCTGGGTATGGAGATTAGCGCGCCTTCTTTGCAGCGACAGCAGGCGGCGGAGATCGAGAAGCAGCAAGAGGAGCAAAAGCAGCTCACTGCTGTGACGACCAAGACTCAGAACGCTCGTGGTGAGGACATCATCGTCACCACTACGTCTCAGTACGAGCAGCAATCATTTGCATCCAAGACCGAGTGGCGTACTCGTGCAATTGCCACCTCCAACCTCCGGACGAGGGCCAACAACATCTATGTATCCTCTGATGACATTCGGGATGAAGGCTACACCTACATCATGCCTAAGAACATCCTCAAGCGATTCATCACCATCGCCGATCTCCGTGTGCAGGTTACAGGTTACATCTACGGTAGCTCTCCCCCGGACAATGACCAGGTTAAGGAGGTCCGCACCATTGTCATGATCCCACAAGTGGGTAACACCCGGGACGTCCAGCTACCCCATCAATTGCCGCAGCACGACTATCTTCAGAATTTGGAGCCACTCGGTATCATCCATACTGTTTCTGGCAATGAGCCACCGTACATGTCTGCGGCGGATGTCACACATCACGCACGTATCATGAACACCCATCCTTCATGGGATAAGAAGACCGTGACGATGACTGTCTCTTTCACTCCTGGATCCGTTTCACTTGCCGCCTGGGGTCTTACTCCAGCGGGCTACAAGTGGGGCGCAGAGAACAAGGATACAACCTCGGATCAGCCCCAAGGCTTCTCCACCAACATGGGTGAGAAGTGTCAGCTGCTCCTCAGTGACAAGATCCGCGGCTATTTCCTTGTGCCCGAGGATAACGTCTGGAACTACAGTTTCATGGGCAGCTCATTTGGTAGCGTGGAAAAGAGACCTATCTATGTCAAGATCGACACGCCGCTTAAGTTCTACGATGACCAACACCGACCCCTGCACTTCCAAAACTTCGCCGAGCTGGAAGACATTTGGGTTGACCGGTCTGACAACTTTGCGTAAACATGTGCAGCTGATCAGCAAAATTCTTTTTCTTTTTCCCAGCGTTATCTCTTTTTTTTTCTTCCCCCTTTTTTTTCAGTTGGGTTCTTGTACGACAACCTTAATTCATGTATTACAGCGAGAAACCTGAGGGAAAAGCCGTGGATTTTTTTTTTGTACAGTACGAGTTTCCTGCGAATACATTTTCTGTAACTGAATCTTTTTATTCTTTTTCTTAAATCTGTAAGTATACGAGGCAGTTGGCTTCGAAATGTAGATATCGCCACTTTTTCCTAAGATTGCCGCGATGTGAAGGCCAATAGAAAACCAAAGATATCAACCGAACGTCCGAGGGTTATAAAGCAAAGAAATGTATATTGAAATCGTCTCCGCTTTGATGCATCAGACCTTGATGACGGCCCGCTGTTAGAATTTCGGCAGCTCATCCGAATCACATATCTATTAGATTCAATGTGATAGCGTGGCTTATTGTGACTTGTTTCATTGGCCTTTCTCTTAACTTCAAGTCCAAACGCCAACATTGTGTGTTTCATCCTCTTGTTCTATTCTATTGGACATCTCTGACTCCCGCAGGACTTGGCTCCGAGGAAACCCGGTGCAATAGAATAGCTTGCCATCGCTTACTCGACTAACCTATACTGTATCAATCAGCCGATATCATCTTTTCCAGCAAGATGTGGAAGATCAGTCAGTCCAATGAGGTTTTTGATGTGCTATGTCCTCCAAGTCTGACATGCTTCACCTGTCTGTCTTTTTTTATTATGATGCTTGAATCTTCACCCTGGGCTCATACTGATCCCATGTTTTACATTTGGTATTTATCATTAATAGCCGCCTTTCCAACAATACTTATGGGGGTTCTACCGCTTAAAGTATTTCTTTAACCCCTCCCCTTGACGTTGGGAGTTGGGAGTCTGTGCGAAAGCAAAGCGGGAAAATCTTCGAGACTGGAAGGATGGGATACAACCTGCCTATCGAGAAAGACTTGACATTCAAAATCCTCTTGCAGTCCGGTCCACTGGAGACTAATGGAATCAGCCCGGCAACGCACGCTCCAAGTTGGTCACCGGCACACGTTTGGATTTTCTCCTAAGGGGCTCTCTAGATGTTATAGATGTGCCCAGCGCTTCGTGTATCGTTCACTCAGCTAGGAAATCTTTGTTACTTCGTACACATTATGACTGACCGATTATCCTGCAAGACCTGCCTACCATTTGAACCAAAGTAACCCTATCTATTCTCTGCACGTCAACTGTTGAGGGCTTTCTCTTCTTTGTTGCGATCACATATATAGGCAAGTTTCTCTTCACATCGTCCTAAGCAACAGCAGAGGTCTTTTTGTTGTTTGCCTTTCAACTCAAGAGAGACACTTAGCGAATAAACACGCCGTTGAATCGTTCACCTCCCAGCAGCCGCTTTACTTGCTGAGGCTACAGACTCTGGTGCTGTTTATACATGTCTGAACCACCGGCGGATCCTTACCGAGGCTCAATGCTTAACTACAGTCCTCATAACAGTGGCAGAGATGCCCGGCAGGATATTTCCTATGGCGCACCTCCGTTGCCCCCGCAAGATAGGCCCATTGGAACTCGTTATTCCGATACAACCCACTCAATCTATGTGCCTTCGTCGACTTTTAGCACGGATTACTCGGCCCAACGCCATCCCTCGCATTACGATACACACGGGTATACACTCTCCCCGATGCAAGGTAGCAGGAAACGACAATGTATCGATAATGAGACTGAGGCCAGTGGAGGCACTGATCATAATTATGGTTACCGGCATATCTTGCAAAATCCCATGGGTGACCCATCGGCTCCGGCAGGCGACTTGACTGACTTGACGTACGCTGGTCATGTCGGCGCTTCGTCCTCCTACCAGGCATTGAACCAGGACTACCTCCCAAGTTCTCTCCCACAACAGCATCACCACCATCGGCTCCCATCCCAAGCGTTTGTGGCTACAGGTCAAGGCTCTGAAGCTACGCGATCTTCCTCGCCGCAAATCGACCGTAGCCACTTGACCGCTCCAGGCATGCCTGCACGATTCCCTCGCCCCAAAGCACCAAAGACCAGATTCACTCCTGAGGAAGATGAAAGATTGATAGAATTAAAGGAGGTCCACAATCTTTGTTGGAGGGATATTGCGTGGTTCTTTCCAGGACGAAAACAACAGACGTTACAAGTCCGTTACAGTACCAAATTGAAGGAAAGAATCCCAGATTGGGGTGATGTTTGGGTATGTACATATTATCCTCACAAACCTAAGAAACTAGGACAGTGCTAAGACTTCGGATAGGATCAGAAACTGAGAGATGCGATCAAGGAGTATGAAGACAAGAAATGGACGTGGGTTTCCCGGACACTTGGGCCTGGTATAAGACCACAGGAGTGTCAGAAGAGAGCCGGAATAATTAATCTTGCATGATGTTGGAGTTTCTTTTTTGTTAGTTTAGAAGAAGTTGTTTATTATACTGTGACTTATAGGCCTAACATAAGCCATCCCGTGCCCTACACAAGCCCTATGCGTCCGAAAACGGACATTCTGCCGCTAGCTGAGCAGACCGCCTGTGCAGAGCTCCGACCAATTAAAAATAAGGCTGACTCATCACTAGTCGCGGTCATATGGGATGGGCCATCCACCAATCACAGGCCCTCGGGCCAAAGCGGCTTCAAACTCGCCCAACCTCAAACCTCCAAACTCCCTCTCCTGCCCCAAACGCCCCGCGTCATTCACCTCATCACCCTCCAGGACAATGTTCCTTCAACGTACAGCCTCCGCCCTCGCCAGGCGCTCGCCTGCCCGCGCTTTCACCCTCGCCCAGCGCCCCTTCTCTTCCTCCATCATTCGCTGTACGTGACTCCTCAAATGGCCTGATCCGGCCTTCGCACAACTGCTCCAACCCCCTGCGCACCCCGACCACAAGGGGCTATTTTCAGTCAATTGATATGAGCTACCTATTATTTCACCAGCTAATGCGAAACTTTTATAGCCAATGAGAAGAAGTGGACTCCCAAGCAGGAGGGCAAGATCCTGACCTTCGATGGTTAGTGCTTTACCCGGCCCCATAGTAGTCAATTGGTTTTCTTCTGGCCTCCGCCGTTCGAGATGTATCCATATAACCGCCCGCTCGAGAATCTGCGTGCAATTGGACGCCAGAAACCTCTGGCGGTGGTCATGCGGATACTTTTCCCGACCCACGGGCCAGGCTCGTTCTATATCAAGTGAATATCTACAAAACACAATACTGACTTATTTCTCCTGCCGGAATATAGAGATCAAGGTCGAGGATGACCTCTTCGCTCCCGGTGCCAAGCCTGGTACCATTCCCACCGACGTCGAGCAGGCCACCGGTCTTGAGCGTCTGGAACTCATCGGAAAGATGCAGGGCATTGACATCTTCGACATGCGTCCTCTTGATGCCTCCCGCAAGGGTATGACTCCTTCTCACAACTTCCATCACAAATCCTGAATGAATGACCAATACCGGGGGAATCGCATGATTGACCCTTTGGGGCGAAAACTGAGACATTGGCTAACCAAATTGGTGAATTTATACAGGCTCCCTCGAAGACCCCATTATCGTCAACAGCGCCGGTGATGAGCAGTACGCCGGTTGCACCGGTTTCCCCGCAGACTCCCACCAGGTCAACTGGCTGACCGTATGGCCGCCCTATCCAAGCCCAACCGGGCTAGTATTTCTGCTCTAGAGACTGACTCTCCGCCTTTTAGGTCTCCCGCGAGCGCCCCATCGAGCGCTGCCTCGAGTGCGGCAACGTGGTTAAGATGAACTACATCGGACCCGAGGAGGACCCCCACTCCCGTATGTTTACCGCTCTCTTTCTCGCCTGTAGTATATGATAACCCATTGCTTATACTAACGTCATCTCTCTCAGACGACCACGACCACGGTCACCACCACCCCCCTCACGTCGAGCCCAAGACCTTCGCCGACTACGTGAAGCCCGACTACTGGTACCGTTAAATCTTTAGTGCCGATTTTCTGCGTGCGCAGCGGTTTTCTCAGGTTATTGCTTGATAAACCTCAATACAGTGTGAACATTATGTTGCGTGTCTGTCTGTCTCTGTTCTGTCTCCGTGGGCTCGTCTCTTTTGTACTATAGTGCTCTAGTAGATGAAATGAGAGTGTTGGTGGTGTTCTTACTTTCAACTTGTGATTGCCTCATTGGGTCTGCTGTTACTATGATATGGGATATTGCTAGTGGTCCTATCGGTATAGATTCTTTGGGACTGGTATGAGAAAGAAAATATTATATTCTTTAAATATGGTAACACCTCGGCTCCCAGCTGTCGCTGAGCACGTGGTGCCGAAACTCTATCCATATATCACTTTAATATAACGTATCTCGAAAATGCGGTGGATTAGTAGAACGCAGCCTCAGCATCCCGGGGGGAGAGATAATGAAACATTGCACAAAAGCCTCGTCCAATAGATCACTGATATGCTTGGACATGAAATCGTATATCAACCAATGCCTAACGACCCACGAAGCGAAGTTCGATAAGTCTGAGGGGAGGGTAAACAAGGACAGTCCAACAGAACCCAACGTAGATTCCCATCTAATGAGTAATAAGTTAGTATCAAAGACACACATGATAGCACGTGGGTTGGAACTTACATCAGCTCCGTATTCGCCGACCAATTTGGCAATGGGTCCGATGTACCACACCTGCGCCATACACAATACGGCGCCCACCCAACCAACAATAAAGGCGATGAAAGCCGCAATTCCAAGGGGCAGCTTTGAAGGATCCCGCCAGATCGCCCAGTTGTACCCAGTGCGAAGACGGAAGATGAACCGCTCCTCAAGAACAATAGCAATCCAGATGACAACCCAGTAGCCCATCAAAGCGAGGAAATTGGTGAAGATCTCAGAGAGGTTGCTGCGGCCAACCAGCGCGCAGACGGTATAGATAATGACAGCAATGGTATTCCAGATGACGCGCGGTACTGCCTCAGCATAGCGACCGAGGATCTGGAAGTCGATACCGGAGGAGTAAGTGGGCGCGACGGTATTGGCGATCAGGCCTAAGGCGCAGATGACAGAGCAGAATTTGCCGAAGCCGTGTAGCGGGCCGAATCCTTCGACGATTAGTGCTCCTTGGCCTTGCTCGTAGGCGGCGGCGTACTCTGGGTGTGTGGAGATGCCCGAGGCCAGCCCGACGCCGGAGACTAGAGCCATAGTGAAGGATACGAGCAGGCCAGCCAGGCTTAGACTGAATAGCTTCACGCGAGAGGTGTTTTCGGGGTAGTAGACAAAGAAGTCTGCTGCTAGTGGGGCGTAGGTGATTGCAGCGCTCACACAGATGGAGAAGAAGGATAGCCTAGGACTATATTAGAAATGCTGGGCTTCGATTGATATTTCGGAGATGCAGACTCACCTATTGCCAGCTATGGTCCTAGAGTCGCCGATAGAAGCGGTTGACAAGTCAAATTTCACGGATGACACCCCGAAAAGGATGAAGACCACAATTACTTGGGGTAAAAAGGCGAACCTAATATGAGGTCTATCAGTGACACCGTTCCTCATGGCAATAATCTCTCAAACTGACCGTTCATAATAGTGGAAGACTTGGATGCCGAACGTAGCCACAGCCCAGCTGAGAACCGCGACGATCACGATACCTATGATGTCAAGATTAGTACCACTATCAATGTATAGAGTTCCTTGATCACCTACCGACAGCTACGGACATGCCGCCAGGGGAGACAGCAGACAAGATTTGCCCGCCAACAACACAATCGATCAAGCCATATCCGATCATCTGAACGAGGTTCAATAGAACAATGATCTTGCTAGGCCACCATCCCATCGAATACCTTCCAAAGGCCTGGTCACCGATTAGTCTTCTCGATCAAATAACAACAGATATCAATATGTGCTACGCACCAGTGTCCGAATCCCGGAAACAGGACCCCACGTGGCCATCCAAGAGGAGACGATGGAACCAAGACAGGCGCCAAAAACAGCACAAAGTGCCGAGTCCCGAAAGCTGAGACCATACACGGCAGGCCCTAACATCCCGAGGGTAATGTTATTGGGCGCAAGGTTGATGGAGATCCAAAGCAAGAAGACTTGCAGATACGACATCCACGTGTTGCGCTTCATGCGCTCATCCACACCAACTCTTTCAATGCCCCGTGCTTCCAGGTTATACTCGACGAGCTGGTTCTCAAAAGATCTAATGATGGAGCCCAGTCGTGATCCGACGGGATTGCGGCGATTGGTCGTGGTCTCGGAGTAGAGTGGCTCATCCTTGTTAGCCACGTTGGTTTCAGTCGTTAGGTCTTCCTTGTTAGAGTGCACTGCTAGGGCAGTGATTTCATTTTCCGAAGCCATGCTGCAATTTTGTTAGTATGACACATAATTGCCAAGGAGAGAAAAAGCGCATTGAGTCCTTTCGCTGGAATTACCCAGATCAAGTTTAACCGTATATTCTCAGAACGACAATTGTCGAACACCGGTCTTCATGCAGGAGGCTTGTCCTAGATACCTTGATCATGAGAAAATACCACGCTACTCGTCTTCATAGTAGCCGTGTGCACAGGTTGTGTTACCTTCCGATAAGAGTCACTATGAACACACTGTAGCGTCAGTGGACTTGGTCGGGAAATCACAGAGTTTAGTTTACCTTGAAATCTGAGGCTCAAGTTAAAAACAAAGTAATAACAGTTAACCAATTGTGAAAAAAAAGGCCCAATTTCCGCTGGGGGAGGGGAACGGGGAATGGGGAAGATTTGATTGCCGCGGGGAAAAAAAATAAGATCGCCCATTAGTTTTTCCCGCCTCCACCTTACCTATATAGACCACTATATTCATATAAAGTAGGGATTGTTCTGTTTATGCAATTTCCTCATACTGGAACCAGTGGGAATCATATGGTATTGATGGACACAAAAGCGCAACAGCGCTTGTCAAATCAAAACAGACGCCTCGGGGGTAAAAAAAAAACATGGGATCGCATAACAGGTTGCGCAGGTGTTCATAGCGCATGAGAACGAAGATTGAAAAAAAAAAAAAAGATGTCCAGATCACCAACTCCATCTGCCTTGTAAAATCAGTAACCTCCAGCGGCTACCGATGACACTTGCATCACTCTGGAATTGCAGGGAATCCGGAAGAGAGAATGCCAAATTCATAAAAGATGCTAAGAAAACGATATCATCACTTCATCAGAGGCGTCATGGTGGTCAGACGTTCTTGAAATGCTCTTTGGCATACTGTTCGCAGGCCTATCGGAAAATATTGTTAGATGGCACAATGACATGCAGGAAATCATAACACTCACTTTGGCAGGCTTTCCCACTTTTTGACCGATCACCTTCCACTTGTTTGCCTCGTACTCCTTGATCGCCTCACGAAGCTTCACAGACTGTACAACGTCAGACACGGATGCGACAACGGACATTAAAGAAAATCGGGATCATACCTCATCTTCGGCAAATTCCGCGTAATGCATGTCCTGCGTAAGGTGTCAGTAAGACGAGACATGATATTACCAAATTCGCTTGATATCGCGTACCTTATACCAATGCTTCTTGACACTGCCTTCGGTTCGGGTCGGGAAAGTCTGCGACAGGTAAAAAAAAGCCCAGGTCAGCAAATCCATAGTTTCAGCCCATAAAATTGCGCGCGCGAACCTTGGCGATTTCACTCCAACTGCGCCCGGCGTCGCGCATTGTCTTAAGTCTTTGCTCCTCCTCTGCAGTCCATGGGGTATTGGTGCGTCCCTTTTTCTTGGGTGTAGCCTCGACCGCGGGAATGGCGCCGGAGTCATCAATCACACCCGTAGGATTCCCTGAGGATCCCATCATGGCCGACGATCCCGCGGGAGAAGGAGGACGTTTACGCGAAGCGCCGGGGTTTTGTTGAGGTATAGGAGCAGTCGGGATTGGGATGCCTTCAAAGGTTGGGACGCGATGAAATGGATGGATTTGTTGTTGGGCAAGCATATGCGGGGGAGCGCTGGTAGTTACCGACGTCTTAAGACGCTTAGATGTCGGGGGGGAACTAATCGGGTAAACAGTCAGAGAATAGAAGAAACATAAGAGGCAATATCATAAGAACGCGACCAGCACTTTCCAACCCAGTCTCCCTCCTACAGCTGGAGGCCGGACGGAGATCACAGACGAAGGGACTTACGACATGGTGAAAGACACACGTTTGCAATCACACTGTGCCGATTCATCTGTACATACAAAAAGGCCGCGTAGGGGGGTTAGCAGGATCTGGTACTGGCGCGCCTTGGTCAACTCTCGGGAAGCGTTACACTAAAGACGATGACACAAGCGCACCCCAGGCAGAACCAGACTGACAAAGGTAACAGGAACAATAGGAAGGTATAAATCGCGACACAGAGAAGTCCAGACTCCGACCGGAGTGTTTTAACTCCTATGTGGGGGGGTGTTAATCAAGGGGAAGCTCACAGGTCAAAATCGCATGGTCGAAGCGTCGATTCGGGGACCTCGAATTCTTCCGAATATGGGGAGAACATGAGGCTGGGAGAGATGGGTTTGACTTTGGAGGGGAGGTAAGGTTGAGGAGAGGAACCCCCAGGAAAAAAAACCCCAGAGACTTTTAACAAAAAAAAGACAGGGAGAGAGAGAGAAAGACAAAGGTTACAGAGAGAAGAGAAAGGAGGAAGAGGAGACAGAAGTGTGAGGGAAAGGCAGAGCGGGGATGGAGTCACCTCATATCACAACAAAGTAATAATAGCACTTTAAGATATTTCATCTAGTTTTATATTGTAGTATATATATTCTAAATGGTTTTGGTTTTTATATTGGTTTAAATAGTTTTAAAACTAGAATGTTTTGATTCTCTTTTTGAAGATCATTATTGTAATCTTCGATTTCCTACTTGTAACCCCTCTATTACCTCTCTATATCTCTTTTACGTATACTCATCTTTTCTCCTTATATCAAATATAGATTCATGCAATCAAATTAAAATTCAGTGTCGATTCAAATGCGCCCCCAACTACTTTCCCCCCTCCGGTGCATTCCACAACCCGTTCTTCCCTGGCCTAGGAACCGATGCCTGAACAGGGGCCCTGTCACAATTTATGGCTCATCCTGTGATCCAATTCGACCGACATCAAGATGCAGAAGCAAAGATAACCATGTCCGGTAGATTCCATGAGACATTTGGGCCGAAGAGACCCGCGAGTGGCCTGTTCCAGAATCCGGTGACCCGGCGAGATCTCACAACACCGTGCGAGGATGACAGAACACGCCCAATGCGAGTCAACGACGCGCCCGAGGGCCTAATTATTGCAAAGGCATCCAGTGGCCCCGGGAACTCATCCCGCAATCAACATTCAATTGACAGAAGTAGAAGTCTCCGTCCAACCCGAGACTTGGCGGGCTAGATCAGCCACAAGACGGTTTCGTGTGAAGCCACCACGTACCATCCCCTCTCTGTCCCCATGCAGGTCGCTGTTGAGAGCATGCATGGTATGGGGTAGAAGGCCTAGAGGACCCTATCAGCATTTCTGTTTGTCTTAGTACTGCGCGGGGTTCATTCAAGGCGTGTATATATTTAAGAAGCCCAGCCTCTCAGAATCCTGCTACCATTTTCTTTGTCACACACACTGTTCATCCCCCCTGTCAACTCTTCCAATTGGTGATAATTGGCGAGTTTCCGAACGACCAAGCTGACCAGGACTACCGAAGTTTCCTGGCATTATCAATTGACCAGGAAATATCAAATAATGACTAAGTATCTCTAGGTTTGAGGGATGCATGCAAAGGATCAGGTGTGATGGATGTCCTGGTGCAGCATATTATCAATGCAAATAGGTACTGCCAAGAGTTGCTGAGAATATGACTTGCATCGCCAGTAATAAACAGGAAGTATTTATCAAATCTAGGAATATCAAGGTCCTTAATCCAGCCAAAAGAAGATATGTATTCCAACAGACTCCAAGGACTCTTTAAATACCAATTCCTTTCTTACCCCTCCGACCGTTTCCAACCGTTCCACTATGAAATAGGGTCCTTCCTACCAGGCCAAGACTAAATCATTAATCATTACTCGGGGCATCGACAGTACTAATGACTATTGGTACTGCTCATGTTGCAGCGGTACATCTGGGAATACCGCGTCGCCTGCATTACCTGGAGCATCTAGACCTTCCCGAATCCACCACGGCTATAGGCGCAAATAAAGAGATATTGATTTTAACTGGAATCCCAGGTCATCGGTATCACTCCAGAAGCTTAAGAAGAGCCTCGACTCAACTGATAACTCAAATATCAAGTAAGTTGTACGCCCTGGCATTTGCCCCTAAACATCCCCGCATCTTTCGATTCTTTCGTTCATCTCCCCCAAGAGTGCTTGTTGGGACCTGAATCAGATGACTTGCTAAGAGCAACATCCATCACAGTATGTTTGGTGCTTCGAAGTCCGATTATCGAAATATATATGTTTCATATAAGTTCCACATGTTTGTTAGTATTCCCAAATATACATATACATTGACATCGCAATGTTGAACAGCACATGTCAACCATAACTAGGCAATAGGTAACAATAAAGAACCAGTACAACACTTTTTTTATCGTCATTGTCTAATAACATTAATATTTCTTCGCCAACCCCAGGGCTTCCAATTTACACGCTGACGTCAACCTCACGTGAGGGGGACACGCGGCCCAAGCTCATGTGGATCAACCGATAACGAACACCCCCAGTCACTCCAACACCGCCAATATCCTTAGGTTCATTGCATCTCCCTGTACCTCGATATCATTGGGGGAGAACGTATATACACAAAAAAGCAGAAGTCATTTCTCTTTGAATCTACTGGACAACTTGATTTTCCAATTCCGTCAGATATTTTGGCGCCGACCTCGATGGTGATAGCTTGACAGGTGTCCACACCCCGCGTCCAACTCACTGTTTGATTGTCCAACCCCCTACAGCCATGGTGTCCTGGAATATATTTCGCATCCTTGGAGATCTATCCCATATAGGGTCAATATGTGTCCTGCTCTGGGCTATCCACAAGAATAAGAGCGCTGAGGGTTCGTACATCCTTGCATCAATTTGATTAGAGCTACCTAGGTACCCTACAGATATTACTGACACAGCTATCTGATCTAGGCATATCACTCCTCACACAGCTGCTTTACGGGGCCGTCTTCATATTTCGCTATCTTGATCTGTTTGATCCCCACACGTACACAAATGGGACATGGCACGGCATCTGGAATGTCTTTTTTAAGCTCTTCTATATCATCTCATCTGCATATGTGATATTCCTGATGATGAAGGTATACCCGCGGACGAGAGAGAGGGAGCGAGCTTGGAAACTCGGTTTGTGGTCTGTGGCTGGGTCCGTTGTTTTGGCACCGATCTCGATCTGGCTTCTCGAAAAAGAGCTTTACACTTTATGGATCCTTGAAGTAAGTTGTACAAAGTCGAAGTATTCACATGCAGTTAGCTGATCCAATCGCTTAGTTTTTCTGGGCTTTCTCCATCATCCTTGAGTCTGTGTGTGTTTTGCCGCAGCTCCTTCTCCTTCGCCAAACCACTGTGCCAACGGTGATCGACTCATACTACCTGCTTGCTTTGGGCTCCTATAGAGCATTCTACATCCTCAACTGGATAGTCCGCCTCTTCAATAAGGAGCCCTTCTATGATTGGATCGCGGTCGTGTTTGGCATTGTACAGACTGCCTTTTATGTCGACTTTGCCTGGGTATACTATTCGCGCCAGCGAGTCAAGCTTCGCAATGGTGGTATTGTTGACTCCGAGGACTATGGGAACAGTTGGCTAGTGAATCGAGTTGTGAATTTCCGGGCGTCGCGACGCTCTGCAGACGAAGAACAGCACCTTCGAGACGAGGAGGAAGGTGTGGATGGTCAACTAAACCACAACCGGTGGGGCGCTCGCGGTATTTCCATCGCAGCCGACGATACTCTGGAAACCAATGGTCACAATAAGGGACATCATCATGATGGTAGTTTAGATGATTTCTCGGGGGACGAAACTGATGATCACCGGGTGAACAATTCTCGTTAAGTGATGATTTGCTATGGATGGATTTGCCGACAGCATATCTTTTATGTCAGTCAAATTGGTTGTTGAGCAGAGCCTCACGGGCTCTAAATTGTGAGGCTCTAAATAGCTTGACAGCACGGGAAGGCCCGCTATTGCCGTTCTAGTCTGGTTATCTCCCGTGGGTTATCCACCCTTTCATTTTCGGGCCTTTTGATAGAATTAGGAAATGAGAACATGTACGGAGAAATCCGCTTTATCCCCAAGTTTATGGGGGCCATTTTTGTTCAGGCTACACCGTTTCATGCTTACTAGATTTCAAATTGATGTACTCTACCTTGATTATGGAAATCGGCCGGTACATGCGGAGTAGTCCTAGGTACCATAATTTTTATGATTTTCTTTTCTGCTTTTATGGAAGGGCTTTCCTCCGAGTCCCCTTCGAGTCTTACATTAAAGGGGATTGCTTACCCGTTCCGTACTCCATACCTAAAGGAGTACTTGGCCCCCAAAGTATCTTGAATAGCATGCACGTTGCTATCACATAAGATAATTCAGAAACAGAATTTTAAGAAATTGAGAAAATAAAAGGCCATATGCGTGGTCTAGGGAAATCCAAAGCGTTTGCTCCGGGCTGATCTTCAAAATGTCCAGTCAGTTTCTTTCAACTGGTTACTGGGCAATCCAGAAAGATACATGGGAGCTATCAACTTTTAATGTTTCTTCAAAATTGTGATATGTAGATGAAAAGGAATTGAGCGAATTATCCAAGGCCCAGACACTGGCTTTTCTCGGGCGCTTAGAGGCAGGACGTCCGGGAGATGACCCTGGAAGCAAACGATGAATATGTGGAGATTTGAGAAGAAAAAGGAAAGAGAAAAGAAGGAAAAAAAAAAGGATTTAGTTGGGAACCATACAGAATCAGAGAAAATAAAATAACAAAGAAAGTTCCAAGGTTGTTCTGCATCTTCGAGCTGACCGGGGTCTGCATCAGCGCTTAACCAGCGGTCATGAATTCTCCGTGGACAAAGCCACCAACCGACGCGTGGGGTCTTCTCAGCCTCAAAAACATTTTGGGTCATTTATAGCCAGTCGAGAGCCGCCCATCTTGAACAACGACTCTGCATGGCATGGGGAATGCAGGATGCATGGGAGAAGGATCATGATCCCTCGGAATCTAGAATTTTGAGGGGTTTATTCTCTTTTCTCGTGGGGGCTGCCAAAATGAATTGTTAGTAGGCAGTCAACAAGGCTGACTGAAGAAGACCATATAAAGAGCGGACAATATGGGTTTTGGGGGCAGTTGAACATTTATACCTAACTAAATACTAAACTGAAATACAGAGTAAGTAGCCATATTATAATGGAATGGCTTTAGTATTTGTACGATTTTTAATGTTCTCCATAATCCATATCTCCCCAAAGCTCTAAGCGCTACGCTTTGTCTTTTGTGGAGGATCATCCACAACCCTAAGCAGAACAGTCTTTTGCTTTTTGCTTTTTGCTTTTTCTTTATTTTTTAATTTTTTTTTGGCCCGTTCTAGTGGGCCTGAAGTGACTTTAATTCCTATTTACCACGCAGTCTGAGCGCCCCTCCAGGGATGGGGGCGGAATATGGATATCAACATTGGACTATTGAGTCCGTAGCGCTTAAATATAGGCTCTCGTCGAGTCTTCATGACTTTCCCTACGTTCTAATGCAGCATAGAGCTCGCGGGCGGTACTGATCTCGGTTTTGGTGCCCTCTGAGCCTATAGTTCATACCTCTAGTGATTGTTCACACCTTGCTTCACGAGACATCCCGGTACTAACTGTGATATCGCTCAAAGTGGAGGACAGGCGGATGTGTGCATCTGTTCTTGCTTTTAAATCTTCCCCTCTTTTCTTGCTCGCATGAATCTTATAAAATCGACTATCGTCGATGGTTGGGAACGTGAATATTTTCTTCAACATCCTCGGAGTGGAAGGTCTTCTTGATATACACATACAGCCCTAACCGTTTAACAATAGCCTGCCGCCTCCTGCAGTCCTACGCCTCCCCCTACATCGAGTTTCATATCTCGTTTCATATTCTGCTTCGGCGTTTATTCTCCCCACTCAGGCAACGCAGTGCACTGTGAATCTTCCCCGTGTTTTATGTTCCGCTTGAGTGCCACCAGTCAACATGTCTAATCGCTCGGGTATTCCCTGCTCTGAGGAAATGTCGGAGTACTATGACGGTAACCCAGACCATTGGCCCACGATCCAAGTGGTATGTACATATGTACTTCTGATACAAACCATTGTATGTGTTCGCATGAACTGACCCATATGCGATCTAGATCCCTCCCACCCCGTACGTCGGCTCTTACAGCCCGTACATGGAGCCTCTAACTCCATCCACCATCTTGACGCCAATCAGTCTTCCAGACAACTCGTTTGGTCACGTTCCAGCAATCAGTCACCACTCGCAAGGTTACCACACCCAAGAATACCAGTATGACCACATGTCAGCTCCAGTGGGTCTTGGTATCTCTGTGCCCTACCCGAGTGACTACCCCCTGCCTTTAGGGCCAAATCCCTCATTCGTGTACGCTCCGGAGCCAATCCGCCATACTGTGGCACAAGCGCCTAGCCAGTCGGCACAGGGCCCGCCACCAGCTAAGCGCGCCAGGCACCCATCCTCAGACACGGCCCCTCAGGAGCAGTCAAGCAATGGACCAGTCAACATCGCTCCCAATCCAGAGGGCCTTCTCCGAATGGAGCAAGATCGCCAGCACATCCAGCCATCTCCACACATACTCCCCAAAGTCCGGGCCCCAGGCCGCGGACGGCGCGATCCCGAAGCAGAAGAAGAGGACGCATTTGTAGAGGAGCTGAGAGATAACCAAACGGCCTGGAAGGTCGTGCGTGAAGAATTCCAGAAGAGATTCCACAAAGATGCCTCCGAAGCACGCTTACAGATGCGTCTTCATCGCCGGCTCCGAGAGCGAATGGTGCGCTGGGAAGAATCAGATGTGAGTATGTACCTCCCGTAACATATGGTACAAGCCGTGGAAGCTGGAGTATATGAGTTGAATGGTCCATGCTGATACGCAAGTCTGTTAGGTCACACTGCTAATCCGCGCCCATGGGATCTGGGCAAAAGATAAATTCCATTACATTTCAGACAAGGTGAGATTTCCTATGCACATATGATATAGGAAATGTTCTAACCTTTCCTTTGATCTTTCGTAGATGAAAGAACTCGGTGGTACTAGGTTGTACTCGCCTGATCAATGCAGAACTCAACTTCGACTTCTTGACGCGAAAGATCAACTTCATGAGCCCATGGGTGAATCGCCATCTGCCATGTCTGAGCCTGCCCCTATCACACTTGTGTGTCGCAAACGACGTCGAGCTCAGTCCCTAGATTTGGAGATTGATGAGCAAGCCCGTTAGAAAGCGCAGTATTTTTTTTTTCTTATTTCTCTCTTTTTCTTTTCTTCTTTCCCTTCTTCTTATTCCTCATTACTCGTTCTTTTCAACTTGACATTGTTCTTTTCTCTTTTAAAGGTCTCTACTTTTCTCTTCTCGTCTAAGATCAACCTGCGTTCTTTTCTCTCAATGATCTCTTTCCTTTTTTCCCTTCTCATTCTGAGATCAATCTGATCAACTTTTTGCCCCCGATTCTTCCCCTCCCCCCGAATTGTCATGATCAGCTAGCCGTGGATTTGATGGGATTATGTTTGCAGAGCTGGGATACATTGGCATTACACCGTTCTCTATATATTTTATTCTTATATTCTATCTCAAATTCCAGTTTTATCGCTCTCACATTCTTCATACATTTGCAATGTCTCGTTTAGCCTTTTTCAAGTTTGATGTAGCACCTAGAAGAACTACAAGACCAGATGATCTACGATCATCCCTAGGGCTAGGTTGCTTTGGATATCGAGCTAATTGGTCAGTCTACTAATAAGTAATACCGGTATATAACAGAGGGCTAATCTCCCACCCCGTGATTTATTAAGCCTTGAATGGGATGATACTCGTATTATCTATCATCTATAAAACCCTCATTCCTTAAGGGAGTTTTTATTCTCTTTTATAGATTATTAGGAATGGTAGCTTATGGATAAGTAATTCATATAAGATCTTCGTAAAACTAAGGAGCTGATGAGGTTAACGAGCTTGAAAGAGAGTTCCAAGGTCGACCAGCTAACAAAAATTACATTGTTGCACTAACAAGTAGTCCATTACCATTGGGCCGTATAAAGATACGTCTTAAGATTGACATAGGTTTCATTTCCTTCAAGAAAACGCGTATACCAATGGAAAAATAACAAAAAGATCCATTACACTCATTGGAAGAAGGTAAAGGAAAGTCAGAAGTCTAAGACAACTTCTAGGACAATGAGGTATACCACGTGCAATATAGCCAAGACTATACAATAGCTCTGTCCTTGATTCAGATGCCATGAGTGATGACCTACGTCTAACAAAGCAAGTTGAGTGAAACAGTCCAATCTTTTGTTATCCCCATTGAGACAGCGAAGCCAAACAAAGGGATTTTACTATAGACAAAGGCTTTATGTCCAGAGTCAGATCTGAATTGGACCCTTTCTCTGGAGAGATAAGAGAAAAAGACAAGAAAAGTGATGATTACCTGGAACTGGCCCAGAGAATGAAAGGCAAGTACACCAAGATCTCAGACACAGAACTCAATATGTTTCTTCGGTGCTTTGCATAAGAAGACGAGATGAAAAGCCATTTAACCATCATTTCCAGAAAGACCATCAAATCTAGTTATGGATACTTCAGACTTTACAATCCCAGACGAGCTCGTCAACGACGCTCCTAGCGAGAATGTCCCGAAGCCCAAGAAGACTCGCCGCAGTCGCTACGACCCAGAGCCCGACTGGTCGGCCATGGTGCGTGCCAAGGTCACGAAGCCTCAACATCGTGTCGGCCAGGCCTGTGATCGTTGCAAGGTATGCCCATTCATATTCTGCTATCGCGTTGGCTTTGACTCAGGGACATACTGACGATTTTGTTTGATATCTAGCTCAAGAAGATGAAGTGTACGCCCGATCCTGGAGGTTGTGCTTGTTGTCTCATCCTCAACATTCCATGCAAAGCCACTGACCGTGTCACTGGTGAGACCTGGGTACGTGGTGAGGCTGGGCGAATGCGGGATCTCATCGAGAGTCTCAAGAAGCAGACCGAGGACTTGAAGGAGCAGATCAAGCAGCTTCAGCAGAAGAACACACAGCTACAGGCCTGTCTGGGAGATTCCTATAGACCCAATATTATGGGTCACTACGAGGTATGTCTTTAACTTCTCTATTGAATTATCGTCGTTCTGATTTTTTGGGGTTTAGGGCTAATTCAATTGTTAGTCGGACCTTGGCCTTAGGGACCTTGAACATCACCAGAATCTACTGTGACTGTGATGACCTTTTTCTCAGTGTTATCTTCTAGACAATTTGTCAATTTATCATGCTTCGTGGGCTTTATTTTACTGTTTGCATCCATCCTGTCCGTTCTGGGATGAAGCGTATGATCGAGACAATGGGAATGCCAATGGTGACAAGTTTTGTTGTTTGAGTACATAAATGCTTGTGTTTTAAACCCCGTGGACTTTTCGTCATTTAGTCAAGTTAGAAATGAGATGTTCTTACAGTAGATGGGGAAAGCAAATTCTGTTCGTCTCGACATATCGATAGGTAGTATGTAGGATGACCATGCAATCCCAATTAGTGCACCGGGTATCCAAAATATAAATACAACACAAATAGCCATAGCCCTTTTACCAACTGGCGTTATTTTTCCAGCAGCAACATATCCCTTTACTTTCACACCATTCCCTGACAGACGCAGTGCCAACCTCGCGATCCTCGCCCACAAGTCCAAGCCCCTCGATATTAAGCCATGCTGTGAAATCTTCCAAGATGATAGGGTCATACATGAGGATCTTTTCATGCCATGTCGGTCGACTACGGCTACCACGGGACGATGACAGTGGCGAGAGACGAGGCTGGATGCGAACAGCTTGGGTGATCTGTGCAGATATATCCGCAAGGCTGATTTCTTTAGAGGATTCTGTTGTGTGCGTGCCTGTGAGGGATGCAGAGGATGACGGTCTTTTGACTGGAACCTTAGCGGAAACAACGTTGCGCTTGTTCGGACTTGGTGATGGTGTTTTTGTGAGGATATCCAAGGAGTGATTTTGTACCCGGCTGTCTGCCTTAGGTTTTGAAAAGATGTCGGTATAGTGCTTTTGCACTTGACTTGGAGAGGGAAATATTTCTTCTTCTGAGTCTTGGATCTCTTCTACATCAATGAATGATGCAGAAGTCCCGATGATAGGTCTCCCTTTCAGGTTTTTCTTTGGACTTGCCTGGAGATCGGGTTGTGAGGCAGAAGTTGATTTTGTCGCGTCAAGCAATTTTCTGTTCTTTATAGACGTTGCAGATTTGGACTTCACCGTCGTCTTCGCCTTCGCATCAGAGGTCGGGTTTGGAACATTGTCCATTTTAGAGGTAGGTTCTTTTTGCTGCTCGGGGTGGCATACAGGTTGGCTGTGAGAGGTAGCATTACTACCGTGTTTCGAATTCCAACATTGTTCAAGAAGATCGATCATCTTCTTGCGGCCCCTGACTGCCTTGAAGCCATAAGCGGACACCTGTTTAGACAATTCTGCGTCTGTAAATCCGGTATATTGTGGCATTGAGGGCGCCTGCGAGGCAGTTGACTGGGAACTAGCCGCTTCAGTCGGGTTATAATCGGTCCCCTTCACATGCTTTGCAGCTGTGGGCTTAACTTTGGGCATAGCTGTAACTGTAGGTGCCGGCGTTTGAGCCAGAAGCTGAGCTTGTGTGTCTGAATCCAGGCCCTTTTGGGTCAATGATAGCGATGATGGTCTCTGTTCTTGGGGCGAATCTATGTCGGCGAATTCAAGATCATACCAATCCTCCTGAAGAGGGTTGTAACTTGCTCGTTCCGGATTGTCATGACTCTTCTTTGCGGGGGATTCTCCCCCACCAGTCAAGTCAACCACGTTTAATGTTTCTGGTTGAATCAAAGATCCTTCGGTGTCCCTGGCGCCAACACACCACATATTCCTGGTACCTGCCAACCTTGATACAGAACGGGTAGATGATTCTTGGATCGCTTTAGCGTTCTTATCGGGCGCCTCCGGATATGATAGACCCTCAGAGACACGAATAGCTTGCTGAGTTTCTCGCAGCATCTGCGGCGAATCATCTGTTTCCAATTGACTGCAGGTACCAAATACAAGATCTTGATCATTCAGAAATTCGACAGCTGCTTCCGGGGAAAGTACAGTGAATGAAGGCTCTTTCTCTGTCTCTTTAGTCTTTCTTCGCCTTCCTTTTGTCGTTCTGATGTCTGGGAGGCAATCAATCACCGGCTCATCCTCTTCGGGATCAATTGTTGAATATTGCGCGGTCATGCGTGCCGTCAAGGTGGTAAACTTCTTAGGCTTGCCCTTGGATGTCTTCTTGGGTTTTCCCGATGCCATGTTCTCTCCTTGGGCAGATGTCTGATCGCTCGAATCAGAGTATCTTCCATTGAGCAATTCCTGAATTTCAGGATTGACCAACTCTATTCGGCGACGCTTTGTTGGTCCTCCGCCATTCGCATTCTGTACAAGGTCACGGGGATTGAAAGCTGACCCAGAGTAATTATAATCGGATAGCAACTTGCCAAACCCACCCGTAAGGTCCGGATAACAGTCTTTATCCTGGCTACCACCATCATTTACGGTAGCAATTTCCTGGTAAGCAGTCTCCCTTGGTGGTGTCCAGTCCATCCTTCTTCTCATTGCCTCGTCCAGATGCAATACCTCATTTCCCCCCAAAGCATGTGATTCCTTGGGGGCAGATTTCTCGGGCATGTCTTCCGAGGGGGATAATTTTGTGGCAACCGCCTTCCCACCTTTGCTGGATTTCTTTGCTGGATCGCCGCTTGGCTTCGTTACTTTCCCAGCCAGAGTCATGTTCCCCGAGTCTTTGCTCTTGGCATTCTTGCGAGAACGACCTTTGGCCGGTTTCACCGCATCATCCTTCGTGCCAACTGTCTCTGGCTGGGGGTCCCTAAGGGCAATTGTTTCTGGCGCATCTGCGGCTTTCTTCGCCTTCCGCCGCGGTTTGCTCAATGCAATTGGGTTGCTGGTGTCTGAAGTAGGGTCCTTCTTATTCGATCGCTTTTTCGGCTTCGTCACGTCCTCGCGACATTTGGTGCTCGCGGTTGGAGTGGGAAAAAACCGGGAGCGCGTATGAGGTTTGGACAAATCGGCTGCCGGGTGTATTTGTGGTGGCGTTTCACCTCGTGGCAAGAGATGAGAGACCTGTTTTGAATCATGCCTAGCTGGCCCTGGCGACCGTGGTGGATTCGGAGAGGACGATATAATAATCACATCTGCAATGCCGGCCATTGTTGCGAGTCGCGTCTTCGGGTGCTTTGATTGATCAGGGCGAGTCGCGTGTACTGCTTGAGTTTGCTATATCAGACATTTCCTAGGCAACGTTTATACCGAAGAGGAAAACAGTAAAAAGTGTATGCAAGTCATATGCTAGAGAAGTAGCCTTTCCGAGTTCAATATTTGGATGTCAAAGGCTGATCGCCCGCGGTCTTGGCAAAAATTGGAGTTGGCTACATAGTTCGGCCGGGCGACCAACTGCATCAATCTCAAAGTGGGTTCATATTCATATATTTGATATATTCATGTAGAATACTCTATGGGGTCGATTAATCAGTGTGAACAAATGTCTTTTTACTGTCCTATATCACACTAAACGGCTAGGATCAGACGTGTTGAATTATGTTGTATGAAAAACATGCACTTGTGGAATATTTCATTCAATTCATGATGATCTTGACTTCGTGCACTGTCACAACAGAGAGGATCTGAGGTATTCCCTGCCTAATGTCGGGCCGAGGAATAGTATATCTCAGAAAAACCATGCGACCTCCTTGTGACCGATGATGGGCATATTCTCCAAGCAATTTGAAGCTCAATATATCCCACCAGAGAATAATAGCACGAGTTGGAAAATGAATGTATTTCCCGCTCGTCCCATGGCATACTTTTGAAAATTTTGGTGTAGTGAATTTGGTTGCTTGATATAGGCAATTGGTCATGATCCCCTTAGGGCGATTGCACTCAACAAGGAATTTTCAAGTCGTTGCTTAGCCTCATCATTCTCCTTGGCAATTGGTGAAGGAAGAGCCCCTAGCTTGTACGCTTTCTTGATCTTGTTGATATCAGAGATTTCGGATAGTGTCTGATCATCGAAAGGCACCGGTGTTCCTTCAACCGAGCTCTCCAGGTGGGCCGCAACGGATTCATGTGTTATCTCCGGAGAGACAGAGACCTTGATCACCAACATGTCTTTGGTTGAATCGGAAATACCGAATCTACGGAATGATTCCGTGATCTAAGTCCGTGTTAATCCCAGCTCTAGTGGCAAACTTGCAGTTAATTCCTAAATTGGCAACCCACATTATTCGTCGGGTTCAATGAGAACACAATCTCGGAATGCACATTATGAGATTTCAGTCGATTGTGCATGTGATCATTAACTGCTCTGAATACTGCAGCAGTTATGTGAGCTCTTGACAGAACCTGTCACTTGGTGTTAGTGGTCTAGTACCTGTTTATAGTCCTCAATGACAGCTTAACATACCATGCTTGCATCAATAAATGCATACTCAAATTCCGTTTGACCGGCGAGGAGTCGACTTTTCAGAGAGGCGGCATTTTGAACATCACGATATAGAGCAACATGCACTGGCATCAATGGTAGATGTGGCAGGCTAATTGTCTCTAGACTTGAGGCCATGACTGAAATCGAATCAAAACCGAAAGTCAAAAGAAGATGACGTATTTGTAATCAGGCCAATCTGATAAAAAAAATAAAGTGAGCCCTGGAGTTAACTGTGAGTCTACAAACTCCATCCCACTTCTTGATCCACGTGACCAATTCTGGAATTTTCCGGATTTAAGCGGTCGCTGGCGGAACATGAGTAATCGCCTCCATATCACCCGTGGGTCCGACATTTAAACGTCTCCTCACTCTCGACTCTTGACTCTCCCCATCGCAAACATGGCTTTCTTCCTACGGCGCCCGTTCGCTGTATCCTCGGCACTTCGCCAGGTCCCTAAGCTCACAAATACCGCTCGATTCATTCACAACTCTCCCATCAAGCCCACTCAAGCGACGAAGCCTCAGGGAGTTTCTTCCTCGATTTTCGCCAAGTCCCGACAGAACTTCCAAAATGCCTTCCGCCGTACATACATGCAGCAGAGCTTCAACCCTGCACAGGGTGGTAATATGACCCAGAAACTGGTATATGGCGCTGCCATTATTGGCGGTACGATTATGGCAACCAATTTCATCTTCAACCGTGAAACAAGAGAGGACGGCGGTATGCCTGCTTACGAGCAGAGCTACTTGAATGAAACTTTCATGCACACTGGTCTTGGTATTGGTATCATTGGTGTCGCTGCTCGCGCCCTCCACATGAGCGGCTGGTCTTACCGTCTTATGGCCATGAACCCGTGGCTTGTCATGGGTGTCGGTCTTGTTGGCAGCATCGGCTCCATGTATGGCACTTTCTACACTTCCCCAGATAAGTAAGTTTTTTTTTTGCCTTTTTGGTTTCCCAATGGGAAAATGAGCTAACCTTTGAATTAGCTACGTCATGAAGTATGGCTGCTGGACTGTCTTCAACCTTACCCAGGCTGCTCTTCTTTCCCCCTTGATGTTCATGAATCCTGCCATCCTCGCTCGTGCTGGTCTTTACACTGTCGGTATGATGGGGTCAATCGCTTTTGTCGGTGCCACTGCCAAGCAGGAGAAGTACCTATACCTGGGTGGTCCCCTTCTTGCCGGTGTGACCATCGTTGCTCTCTCTGGGCTCGCCCCCATGGTCCTCCCTGCTACTGCCACCCGCACTCTGATGTGGTCTGAGCGCCTCTGGCTCTACGGTGGTCTTGCTGTCTTCGGTGGTTTCACTCTCTATGACGTGCAGAAGATTCTGCACCATGCTCGTCTTGCCGAGCGCGGCTTGATCAAGCGTGATGTGGTCAACGAGTGCGTCAGCCTCGAGTTGGACTTCATCAACATCTTTATCCGCATGGTCCAAATCCTCGGTATGGGCAACAACCGCCGTTAAGCTATTTTGTATCCACTTTATTAACTGGATAACCTGACCTCGGTTTTTCCAACATCTCTTTTTCTCAATCATTCGACAACCCCTGTATTTGAACCAATTGTTTATTATCTATTTTCCTTTTTCTTCTGTTTTCTTTTTTTTTTTTTTTCTCCTTTCTTTGGTCTTTCGACGGTGATGCTTCTTCCTACGGGCAAGCGCAGCTAATCGCTGTCTTGTACTTGCTGAGAGACATAGAACAGACAGGGTAGCGAATACAAATCTCCACTCCCTTGGCATCTCTGCTGCATATAGCATATAAAAACATAACTAACGATGATTCAAGTCTGCAAGCCCGAGATTTGAAAGAGAGAAAAGAAGCCGGATAAGCCGCCAAAACAAGGAAACTAAATAGCAACCACCTACTATTCAACCATTCGGTAGTGTAGTCTCAACATGTATAACAAAAATTACTTTTTTTGGAAGAGATTTAATACCATGACTAGTTTTTCTTATCTAGAACGACACCATACTACCTAAAGTTTTGTTACTTGGACTTCAGAGCATGATAAGAAATATCATTTACATCCATGGATGTACAGAGTGTTTCAAAAATTCCCAAGCGAGCCCGTAGGCCTACTTGAAGTAGTCAATTTGGTAGTTTTCAACTAGCAAAAACACGATCTCGGATGTCTCCTCACTGATACGTGTAAAACCCGTGCACTAGGATGGAGAAGAAAAGGAAGAGGAAGTTCTGGGGGTAGGTAGGGGTATTTATACTTCTTCGGTTGCCGCGGCGGCAAACCCTTTGCAGGCAGCGATGCGTTCGCAGGCATCTGCACTGATTACAGCTGGCTTCGACAGCAAATATCGTGGTGTCAAACTTGCTAGTGCATTGAACTCAGGTTGGGGTCATGTGATTGCAAGCTTCTCTTGGAGGTGAGGTTGTCCGAGACCGCCCAATAATACCGCCCAATAATACCGCCCTCCACCCTCTGCAGACTTCAGATCGCGATAGACCGCTACAGACGTTCAGACTACACATCTCAACATAATACCAATACAGTCGCACCGGTTTTCTCGCACATATACCTCACAATATGTCGAATGAGATGGAAATTGACCCTCCTGTCGCACACGACGACACTCCCGAGCAGTCAGACCGCAGTTTTGAGCCACGCACCCAGGGGAATGCAGTCGCTGTGCGCAGTATCGAAGGATGGATTATTATCGTATCTAATATCCACGAGGAATCGTCGGAGGAAGATGTCACCGAACTCTTTGCGGAGTATGGTGAGATCAAAAACTTCAGCTTGAACCTTGATCGGCGAACGGGTTATGTCAAGGTGCGCATCCTCAATCTCAGAACTACCTCTACGACCCTGGAGAATTTCCTTTTAAAATATGGGAACTCTTGTCAATAACGTTCAATGGTACGATTGCTAACACCACTATTTCGGCAGGGCTATGCATTGATCGAATACTCCACCCTCCCCGAAGCCAGTGAAGCTATCAAAAACCTTAACGGTTACAAGCTCCTCGAGCAGACCCTTCGTGTCGACTATGCTTTTGTTCGCCCGCCTCCATCAGGCAAGAACAAGAATGGAGGGCCAAAGGGCCGGGCTACTCGGAATCGCAGCAGAAGCCCTAACCGGAGTCGCAGCCCCGAAGCTGGCGGCGACCGGGACTAAACCTTTTCAATGGATGGAAACGATAAAATTTGACCTGCATACATTGCTTGTGATCTTCCATTTGATACCTGGGCTTTGCTTTTGTCGCATTTTTAATACCTCGCACTGTTTCGTTCGAACCTTTACCCATCCTTCCTGCCAGAACCTGTCTACAAACGGTGGACATATCATCTAGTATTCGCCGGCACGGCCCCTTTTCAATCGAACCTGTATGGGTCACAGGCCGAGTGTGGGTGTACATGGGACACGTACACACACGGGGTACGTGCCGGCGCCACGATAGATTGCCACAATGGTATGGAAATTTGCTCTTAAACTCTGACTAGAAATATACTGACATGGACTCAGAAATTAAAGGCTCTTTGATGAAAATTGAAAATTGGTCTATGAGCATCTGGTCAACAAAGACAACCCTGGACCCCAAAGCCCAGCCTCTGGGAGTAATGTACATTACGAAGAATGGATTTTTTTGGTTATGTGACCTTTCATCTACCTAGTTGTCAACTTAATTTAAGATGAAATCAAAAATCGTACATTAGTACTCTGTAGTATAGATGGAGTATACCCATGTAGGATCCCTCGCGGGGTATGGATCATGCGACAGCCATGTGGCGCTGGAATAGAGTAAATAAATTATTTTTGGACTTCGGGGTTAGTATTGTATGGTCAGAAGGCTCCAATCATTCTTTCGGGATGATAATAAGGCTCTAATATACAATGAATTAACCCTCACCTGGCACTCGTGACCATCTCCCGTGAGGGCTCCAGAGCTCCAGGGCTGCCCAGACTGGTGACTAAGCTTAACCCTGCCCGGCTCCCCATTTTCCCCGCATGGCGCATGCGGTTATCGCTCTTCCTCGTTTTTAGCCGCTTTCATTGCGCACTGTCTCTACCCTCTATTCTTATAGACGGACTCCAAAATCCTGTGTCTGGGGATCTGATTCTGACAGGATATATTTCCTGGTGCAGAATGGCTCCCCAACACACATATTTTACCCCCTTGGGGCTATCACGATCTCTATACCGTATTCTTATGCTATGCTTCCTATCATTTTCAATTATGGCCAATGCGCTGGCGTATCCATCTCAGGAAATTTTGGGAGTGCCTTCATCTTCCAGTTCGGTTGATAACCCCTCAAAGGAGACTTTCTTTGGAGGTACTGGGTCAGCGCCGGAAGGGTCGATCCACGACCCCATTCTGAATACCTTGCAGGATCTTATCGCCGCCTTGCAGGTGATGCAAGACAGGTACTTTGTGCTATGGCAGGGCACGTGGCCGACCAGCATCGATTGGACTGCGGCAGTCTTAGGCACACACGTTTCGGCAGCACTATCATCTCTAACCTCAGGTCCGCTTGATATCCCCGACACGGATGAATTGCAAGGATTATCCTTTTTCAGGCTTGAAAATACGGTCAATCGGTTTTTCAGCCATATTTCTGCGTTCTACTTCGGCGAAAACTCTTTCAGTCTTAGAAACCAGGCCTACGATGACATGCTATGGGTTGTGTTAGGATGGTTGGAAAATATCAAGTTCCAAAATCTCCACTCGGACCTTCACTATGTCTCCTCAAACAACGGTTCTGGAGAAATTTGGTACGGTACCCAGTTCCAGAACTCTGCTGCTCACAGAGCACGCATCTTTTACGAGCTCGCCTCCGCTGGTTGGGACAAAACCCTCTGTGGCGGCGGCATGATCTGGAGCCCATATCTGATGCCGTACAAGAATGCGATTACGAACGAGCTGTATATCTCCGCAAGCATCGAGATGTATTTGTACTTTCCCGGAGACCCCATTGATGCCCCGTTCCTTGTCGACTCGCAGGGTCCACAGCCCGTACGGAAGAACCCGCATAACCCTCTTCACCTCAAGGCTGCAATTGACGGGTATGAATGGCTCAAGAATTCAAATATGACTGGAATAGGCGGTCTCTATGCAGATGGTTTCCACA